CCTCCCCCCACACCCTCGGCTTGAAATTTTTTGAGAAATTCATGGTCTCTCGTCATTTTGGCGCATATACATACACATTGATCTTTTTAAACACAGAAATCCAACATCCTGTTTGACGTCAATTTTTATTATGAATTAATACGATGACATTGTGTTTCAGTTTTATTGATGCAAAGCATTAATTGTGATATCACATGTCTATATCATATTCTCGCGCTTTGAGTGCCAATCCTGTCGCTCCATCTGACGATAAAGGATAAAGCACAATTATGACACTTTTCTCATAAAAATTGGATTTAAACATCCGCGAGATTTAAAACTTCAAACTGTCAAATACTGTTGCTACGATGATGATAGTTCTGCGCTATATCTTAAACTGTCATAACCTCGTCCAGAAAAAAATAATGTGAATGAAATTTGTAATATATTCATTTTTCACTATCTATTATTGAACTATTATAGCAAGAACGTCCGGTTCTTTATTTAAATCTTATATAATTCATATTTAACCCCGATAATTTTAAAAAGTTTGATCTTTACAATAGTTTTAAGACTAGACAGGACGGATGGGGGGGGGGGGGGCAGTAGTTGGTCCTATACTTTAGTCTTGGGGTATACAATCGAGCAGTTGGCCCCGGGCATCAACATCTAATCATATATTAGATTACTAGATTGCAATCCGGAGATGATAGTGAACATGCTGGTTTTTTGACTCTTTTTGTAACATTTGCTATCATTTTTCACCTAATCATTTCACAAAGGATCGACCTGCGGCTCTGTTTGTACGGATTGTAGCATTAGGCTAGGAAGATGTATTCCAACTTGTGCTTCCGGCTTCCAGGGTCAATTATTGTCCAATTGCACGAAAAGGAATATACTTACCCCTTCTAGAACATCTGACACCAGTTCTTATGTGAAGTGTTCACACAGCTAACAAATATTTATTGTACTTTTGTAATACCATTGCCTATTATCGTTTATAATTAGTGTTGGGTGTCCGTGTAAGAGTCATGCTATACTGACTCGCTCTAGAACACTAGATACCACATCTCATTTAGATATAATTATCTTATAGCTAAGATATACATGTAATGTACATGAACATATTTATTGATTCGAGTATGCCATAGTTATATCATTCACTAACTTATGAATATTAATTAGTATATTGATTATCCCCATGGATTCACTGATATTTTAATTTTTTATATATATCAGAATTATATTACATGATATGCATAGCTGACTCTCTCTCTCTCTCTCTGGACAGCGGAACAAGCGTCGATCAGAAACTGCTTTTACCAGCAGTGGTTTTATTTTATAAAAAGTAATATTCAGGTTGATATCAAAGATGGTAATTTGGGTAAAATACACGATAGCCATTGCCGGTGTAATATTATTTGTTTTACAGGGTCGTGTTTGTTCCGAGATCAGTAAGTTAAATATATCTATATATCTAGTTTTATTTTATTATGTTTATTCCTTGCTTTTGTATTTGATGTACGTGGATTCAGAGCTTGAGTTGAGTTGTTTATCTTTTATATATAGGTGCGCAAAACATGTACCATTATATAATGATAAATCGATTTCGTTTTCGTATTCAAAGATCGAAAGTAAGGAAATGATTGTAAAAACTAAACAAATATTGCGTCGGTTTTTATCCGCGTATTTTTTGATATCTTGTAATTCTAATTACTCCTACTTGCGTCGGTTTAATCCGACTGAACTTTTTGATAACTTGTAATTACTCCTACTTTAAATAATATCTTGTAATTACTCCTACTTGCGTCGGTTTACTCCGACTGAACTTCTTGATATCTTGTAATTACTCCTACTTTTAATAATATCTTGTAATTAATCCTACTTGCGTCGGTTAACTCCGATTGAAATTCCGCGTATATTTGATATCTTGTAATTTACTCCTACTTTTAATAATATGTTGTGATTACTCCTACTTTTAATAATATGTTGTAATTACTCCTACTTTTGATAATTTCTTGTGTTTACTCCTACTTTAATAATATCTTGTGATTACTTCCACTTTTATTATCTTGTAATTACTCCTACTTTTAATAAGTTCTTGTGTTTACTCCTACTTTTAATACTATCTTGTAATTACTCCCACTTTTAATAATATCTTGTGATTACTCCCACTTTTAATATCTTGTAATTACTCCTACTTTTAATAATTTCTTGTGTTTACTCCTACGTTTAATACTATCTTGTAATTACTCCCACTTTTAATAATATCTTGTGATTACTCCCACTTTTAATAATATGTTGTGATTACTACCACTTTTAATAAAATCTTGTGATTACTCCCACATTTGATAATATCTTGTGACTTATACTTTTAATAACATCTTGTGCCTTACACGTTTAATAATTCGTTGTGATTACTTTGTACTGTTAATAATATTACTGTCGGCACAGCATATAACAAATTTAATTAAAATTAGAAAAGAGTCCTTCTTTTGCTAATGCTTCGAAACAAAACTTTAAATGTATAGAGCTTGCCTCCACACTAACTAATCTAATTCAAGACTTTATCTTTACCTAAATCAAAGACGCCCAGTTCCTTTTAAGAAGTTTCTTGCAACTGTTCCAAAATCGATTTTGGTACGTTCACATTAAAATTTATAATATATTGTCAATAAAATATAGCAATTGTTATAAACGCTCTGCAGGTCAGTTTTGTTGCGATTATGTTCTCAGAGTTTCTGGGAGGAACCATAACAAACTTCAAAGTTTGCGATGAGGTCATGATAATTCATCTAAATCTCTCGTCTATTACCATTTTAGGCGATTGAATTTTCTAGAATCGTCATTTGAAAACGTCTAGAAAACAGTGTTTAGAAATAATTGGAAGGTTCTGGAGAGTTCTAGAAAAAGTTGGAAAGTTCTGGAAAATTGTAGAAAGTATACTCAGAGTTCCTGGGAGGAACCATAACGAACTTCAGAGTTTGTGATGAGGTCATGATAATTAATCTAAATTTATCGTTTATTACCATTTTAGGCGATTGAATTTTCTAGAATCATCATTTGAAAACTTCTAGAAACCATGGAAACTTCTAGAAACCATGGAAACGTCTAGAAACCAGTGTTTAGAAATAATTAGAAGGTTCTGGAGGGTTCTAGAAAAAGTTGGAAAGTTCTGGAAAGTTGTGGAGAATATTCTCAGAGTTCCTGGGAGGAACCATAACGATCTTCGGAGTTTGTGATGAGGTCATGATAATTAATCTAAATTTATCGTTTATTACCAGTTTAGGCGATTGAATTTTCTAGAATCGTCATTTGAAAACTCCTAGAACCCATGGAAACTTCTTGAAACAGTGTTTAGAAATGAATGGAAGGTTCTGGGAAGGGCAGTGGGGGGGGGGTAGAAAAAGTTGGAAAGTTCTGGAGAGTTGTGGAGAATATTCCAGAAAGTTCTAGAATTTCCTAAAACTATATAGGCCGGACCAGTCCAGTCTGGGGGCAGAACTTTCTCAGCAGAACGTTATCAGCACTTCGTATACAACTCAACGTTTGTCGTAAGATTCTATTTGACCCACGTGGTTTGTGTTCTTGATTATTGCCATTTTGTGCTGTTGTGCTGTTTTGAGAGAAATTATCTATCTGTTTTACATTGCGCTGTTTTGAGAGACTTGATATCATTAAATCGGCTGATATTGAGATAATCGTGAATCTGTAAACTACAATCGATAATCGGAGATTCAACACAGGGCTGCTATATATGCATGGCGAGGGTTCGATCTCGGATTCGTATTTGTTAAGTATAGTTTTGACTTATTTCAAGTAAAGCTTACGTTCACTTCTAAGCACAAAGTGCAATGATTAGAGGTATCTCTCTCTCTCTCTCTCTCTCTCTCTCTCTCTCTCAACTTTAGTCTCAATCAACTTTTGTATAATATATTTTGAACAGAAATATTGTCAGTTGCTGAAGTAGCTATTCGCACAACCGGGTCTATAACCAACTGTGGAACCTTTTATATCAGCTAAAGTTCTCTTATGAATTGTATATATCTAACTTAAATTTATTCCTTGCATTGATATATTTAGTTTTTATTTGTGTGTATTTATTTATAATATGTATGTGTATCTTTTTATATTATTTAATTTATGTTTAGCACAATATAGACCGGATGGTGCTCGCGTGTCATAAAATCCATTAGATTTCAATTCTTGCACACTTTTATAATTTACAAGGGATCAAATAACAATCAGAGCCTTTAAATAAAAAATTAAAATAATTGATCTTATTTGGATGTGACGCCATATCTTAACTCTAGCAAATGATTTATACCATCCTTGTAACGCTTTAAATTAGGGCTCAAGTAAACGGTGTCCCAAATCGGCGAACGCCAAAAATATGAATAATGCGACTTGATGATCGGGACTGCTTAATTTCCAGCGTAATTTTGATTCTGCTGTAAAAATTACAACTAACGGAAGATTCACAACAAAACGAATAAATGTTATGTGCTGATAATATGAGAAGGCGACTATTGTTCCGTATGTTTTCGTTTTAAACAATCAAGTAACGCTTTAAAGGGACAATAACACTCTCGCTGGCTTGACAGCTCCAGAAAATAAACAAATAGCCTTATTCTAAGTACTAGATGTGTTAGTGTCCTACCTGTTGTGTAAATTATCCATTAAATCCTATTCTACTTGTCCAAAGGGTTCAAAAATATTTTTAAATCCAAGTCACATTTGAAAAGCTTTACGTCAGGCTTTTCAAATCATTTAGTTGAATTTTTCCAATTTTTTAAATCAGGTGTGTTAAGATGAAATTTGTATCATCAATTAATTGGAATATTGTAAAATAGTACAATTTGTTGCCCAGAATAAAGATTGGGACATATTATTCATTCAGTTAGAACAAGAGTGGTATTGGGCCTTTAAATTAGTTGTCCAGTTAATTCACTTAGAATGGTTTTAAGCGAGCCGTCGGCTCCTTCTTATGAAGTCTATATTTTATTTTTATGTAGAACATCCGAATATAACTGGAAATGCAACGTGTGATGACTACATGACATTTTATGCGGATGGTGTTCAATATAGTCATGATAATGATAACAAATATGGCTACTCATCACCCATCAATATACTAAACAGTACGCAAGTTGTGGCTTTCAGATGTGAGGATAATGGAGGGGTCTGTGGCCTCAAAGTTAACTTGAGTAACGGAGTTAAAACTGATACAACCTGGAAATGTTCAGATAGAAAGGAAGTAGGTTGGCAAAATGTCAGGTAAGCCAAAACATCAGTTATAGTCGACATAAACCAGTATGTAATTATATTAAAAACATGATCTTGAAAAGAAAAAAAATCATCTGAGGCGATTGCCAGAAATATTCATTAGTCTTCCCTCTCACGGTAATTGTGGAGAAAACCCACTAGGTTGGACGTACAAGCGGTCAATCGAAACAACTTCCCTTGACCTTATAGCAGACCTCATGGTTTCACGCGCACCACTAGACCACCCAATTCCCCTTTCGCTGGAACTGCAGGTCACGTAAGACTGAAAAATCGATAGGGTTTATTTATACTCTTATGAAATGAAATGAAATGGAGTTTAGCATCCTACTGTTCTGCACCGACTGGTCAAATGAAGATGGTACATTAATTATTATACAGTGTTTGATAATTTGTACCCTAACCTGGACTCCTTTGGTGGTGCCATACGTGTGTTCATATGGTGCAGGGACAGGATTAAGCGGAAAGAATATAAACAAAAGATTCCAATTCGATTCTATCGAACTGGGCTGAATACATGTTTGTCAGCGGATCGTTCGCATCATTAGAATTTATTTCATAATCAGACAGACATAATAGGGCGCTTAAATACTCAGACTTTAAATTTTATAAATTATAATAATATATGCCCCGCTCGAAATATATCATAACTCCTCTAACTGTACAATATCATGTTTTATATCATATGTTCAGTTACTAAATGCCGTATAAGGATCGCTTACTGTACAGACGCGATCATTTTATTGTCAACCGATTGACAAGAAATTGAGTTTTCAATCGCTGTATTTGAAAAAAAATAAATGAGGGACTTTGTGGGATTTAGTAATCAAAAGATAATTATTAGTTATAACACAATGTTTACTCCATACTTGTTTTATGAGTTTTAAAATAACAATATTACTAATTTAACATTTCTAATATTGTAATATTGAATATTTATCTAATCTCAATAACATTATATTATTGCAGTTTTGACGACAGTGCCTGGGAAAATGCTAAATTTAGACATGATAAACGTAATTTGATTTGGGCGACTGGGAAGAATTGCGGGAAAGGCAAAATCGTATACTGTAGAAAGTCAATCATCGGCTTGCCATGTATGTATATAATCAAATATTTAATATAACGTAAACTACTAAAGCTCAGATAGTACAGTGTCATATAACGCAAACAGTACTAGTATCTTATAGCGTAAACAGTACAGTAGCTTAATAACCTAAACAGTATCACATAACGTACATAGGTGTAAGAGTCAGCGGGGCAGGGGGCAGCTGCTCCCCTAACTTTCGGGCAATCTGACGTCTGACTTCTTTCATCTAGTTGGCAAAATAAAGTGCCCGAAATCTAATAAAACACTATTTTACTTTTCTTTTTATTGAATACTACGAATTTGTGCTGAATTTATTATGGATTAAAACATTTTGTCTGGCGCCACACTACTTTGTGCGACATTTTTCGGCCGTCGATTATTATTTGTGAATTCAGCTTGAACAGTCTGATTGGATGGTTGGAATTCAGGTCGGCATAGGGTGGGATTTCGGTTGCAACCCGATTGGAAATTTGATTTTTCTAGAATAGGAGAAAAACGTATTTGTGGAGGTTAAATTTTCAAAACTTTCTCGGAGACCGCGAATCCCCCATACTTTGGTTGTTTTGGGATTTGGGATTCGGGTAAGTCACCTAAGGCAGGATATATTGGAACACATTGAACTTGCTGTATTCACGGGTTGAAATAGCAGGAAAACGCGTTTGCGGCAATTAAATTTTCAAACGAAAATCAAATCTCGAACAACAAATTTCTAAATACAAATCTCCAAATACAAATCTTGCAAAACTTTTCTCCAATAACATTTCTTCAATAACATTTCTTCAATAACATTTCTCGAAATTCACCGAACCGGAACATTATGACGACATAAGCGGAAATCAACCTGGCATACAATAAGTCACCATACAACAAAGGAGAATCGAGCAAACATATATACAATAAGAAATATCGCTCGACTTTAGTGAAATCTGAAATCGCGTCGTGTTATATATATTGTTAATCTGATCTAGCATTAAATAAAATAAATTGAAAGTAGTCTATTTTAAGTCATTAAGTTATTATTTGATAGCGACATATTTCTTTGGACAAACGAAAGGGGGCTTTATCTCTTCTAAATCACGAGCCTGCCAGTAAAATAGCTGATACTATATTCAAAGAGCGATAGATAAATACTTTTGGTTGAAGCATTTTTCGATAACTAGAATTTCGTATTAAAGACGCGTATTTTGACTTTTAAATACCCACCCCTCACTAAATAGAAATGAAATGAAATGGAATGGAGTTTAACGTCCTACTGTTCTGCTCTCACTAAATAGAGTTCAGACGATCCAAATTATATCTGCTTTAACAAGGTACGTAAATATGTCAGAAAATATTTTATATTTTGAAAGTTTATTCTTTTTCAAGGTATGTAATTACAAATGTGCAAGAAAATAATTTACATTTTCTAGCAAACAATAAACATACTTTCAGCTGTATATGAACAGATATCGAGAATTTCTTAAGATCGTTTTTTTTTTTTTTTTTGGGGGGGGGGGGGTACTTTAAATATCCCGCCCTCCCCTCACTTAATAAAATTTAGTACCGTGGAACTTTGATCTCTTTTCACGGTACATAAATATAAATGTGCCAAAAAGTTCTACGCTATATAACTCTATTAATTGATTGGGAGGGGTGGAAGGGGTCTTAAATGTCAAAATACGGATCATACTACGACATTCCAGATATCACACAGAATACCACTAAAAAGAAGTGGTATTAACCTTTTCAGAAATGTAAATTATATTCTGGCACATTTAAATTTACAATTACATAGCTTAAAAAGGTATTACAGTTGAATGACACTAGATACTATAAAGTTGATCGATCGGGTTGGAAAGGGGTGGGGGTGTATTTAAAAGTTAAAATGCAGGTTATCGCGTATAATAGTATTTATTTATTTATCCCTTCTTTCAATATATTACCTATTTCCTGCCACATTCATGATTAAACACTCTTTCGTTCTAGAAAAGAAATATGTCACTATTAGACAAAACCTAATTTCTGAAAAAAGACTACTTTTCATTCTATTTTCTTTCTCGATAAGCCATCATACTATGCAAGTGGTTTCACTAGAGTCGCGGTCATCGAGCGATTTTTCTTATTATGTATATATGCTTGCTGGATTTCCCCATTATTGTATGGTCACTTATTGTATGCCAGGTTGATTTCCGCTCATGTCGTTATGATATTCCGGTTCAATGGATTTCTAGAAATATGTTTGGAGAAATGTTGTTGAAGAAATGTTTTTGGAGAAATGTTTTGTAAGATTTGTATTTGGAGACCTGTATTTAGAAATTTGTTGTTCCAGATTTGTTTTTCGTTTTATTTCTCCAATGTAAATTGAGGCTAATATTTGATTATCTAATTATATATGTTATCTTAATATTAAAAAACAATTAAAATACATTTTACAAATCTGATATGACAAATGTATGATTTGTAAAACAAATATCGATTTTAAGATACAAATGTTAAAGGAGCTAAATCGCTAATATTTTGGATCTAGATATTGACACAAATGGGTCGCAACGTATATACTAATGTAATGTGAATGTATATAAACTGATTTACATTCAATCGTTTCTGTTTTTACTGTAATTTCTAATCAGTTATGTTCGGCGAAACCCGCCAGAAGTCTCAATCCAATGGCAATCTCTAGCGTCTGGTTATTCCACTCTATGCCGATAGTATTTATTGCGCATGCTCTCCAGATAAGAATATGACGTCACCGTTTGACATGACTTATGGAATATATCTAGCCTCTTTCTACGAGTCCCTTGTTAAATATGGCACTGAAATGCACTATAGTACACGATTCGTGTACCAACGGTAAAATGTTTATTTTCTCCTAATTATTGGATATCAGAAGCCCATCTTTTTCCCGTAAGATCACAACACCAATGTTGATATTTGGTGTTTTCAATGTCTATGTTAGGGACTTAGCTACTTTAAGTTTAGTGTCGAAAATGTCGAAATACAACAACAAATGAAGAAAGAAGAATTAAGGACTATGAATTAAGAAATAAGGACTGAATAAAGAACTGTTTGTTCTTCCATACCTAAACAGTACAAAATCTTATATAATATAAACAGTATAGTACCTTTACGTCATATATTATTAATTACAGGCCTGTGGTCCGGGGATCGGTTGTTATTGTATTGGTTAGCCTATTAAACAATATTTTTATTCAGGATGTCTGAATGGGATTGGGGAACAGGCTTAGCCTATGTAAAACCCCTCTCCCTAGATAATATACATACATAATATTAAATAAAGGAACAAAATTGGTGTATATACATAAATATATATAAATATAGCCTATGTAAAACCCCTCTCCCTAGATAATATACATACATAATATTAAAAAAAGGAACAAAATGGGTGTATATACAATATATATAATATACATTATTAATATCTGAAGACGCCCATAGAAGGCAGACAGCTAGCTTATATGATTTAATGTATGTCAGAATGAAGTAAAGTGGAGAATTTTTTACCTGTACGGATATATATATAGTTAGAAGTAGATAATATACGTAAAATAGAGTAAATGCGTCCATTCTAGAAAGTTATTTTATTACTGACATGTTTCATATAATTTTCAAAGTAATGTAGGTAACTAGGTATATAATGGACGCATTTACTCTATTTTACACACATATTTATATATTAATATATCCAAAATTATTAGCACAACCGCAAAGCTGCACTACTTTGTTTCACGGTAAATGATGAAAAGATAAAAAAAAAAAAGGTATGCCGACCACAAACTGATTTCAACTCTGGTTTAATAACATTTTAACATTTTAAAGTACTTTTCGTCCGTCTTGGGACTATTCATAAATAATGTCATTGTATAAAGATGGACAGTATAGTATATTTATACATATTTACATAGTAACACTGTGGTTTTAATTGGCTATAGTTACCATTGTCTATGGTTACATAGTATATCGTTAACTAATAGAAACATGTACACACATGTGTTAATCTGTAGTATATGGGGTTCAATTTATGAACAATGAGTTTAAGATAATCATGGGATAGATTTAAGAAAATTAATGAAGCTAATGGCCAATTGTTACTTATTGACTATTAAGTCGAGGAACATATTTTTTAATAAAATGGTTTTCCATTAATTTCCTTTTCGTGGTGTCATCGACTTTCATTTTATAAAAAGGGAAAATTTGGAATTTTACTTGTAGGTGTTGTGCACATTTAAAAATATGTCTATTTACAAATAAGGGCCCATTTTCAATATTACAATCCCGTCGATGGTTGCGTACTCTATCCCGTAGATGCGTGGACGTCTCCCCTATGTAAAAATTTAGACACCCATTGCAAGTCAAGACATATATGAGATTTTTTGTGTCACAATTCATATTGTCGTTGACACTAAATGTAAACTTATATTTGCTATTTGGCGTAATATGGTCGCAACATTTACATCGAAGATCCGGGCATTTAGATACATAAAAGCCGGTCCTTGTGATAGATGAATTGAATTTTGCTTTGGTTAGGAGACGCTTCAGATTAGGTGGCTGTCTTTGTGATTTAATGAATTGAACCTTATCAAATTTAATTCTGAGGTTGTCGTTTGATGCCAGGATTGCCCTACTCTCGTACATTGTTTTAAAGAAGTTGGGATGTTGGGGGTTATGAGTAGCGACAAAGTTAATGATATTATCCGAACTGTCTTTTGCTTTAGTAGCCCTCAGTGTTTGAATATCAATTGCCAAAGCCTTATTTATCCCAACTTCTATTACCTCGAGAGGGTAATACTGTTTCAATAAATTTCTTTTTAGCTCACGTAATCTGACAACCCGGAGGTTTTCATCTATCACAATGGTGCATATTTTTCTAGCTAAAGAAAAAGGTATATTATTTTTGGTATGGCGTGGGTGACATGATTTATATGAAAGATAGTTTTTGGTATCTGTTTCTTTGGAATACATATCCGTTATAAGGAGTTCTCCCCTTCGTTTCACTAGAACGTCCAAGAATGCGATTTGCAGATCGTTCGTTTCAATTGTGAATTTGATATTTAAATCTAAATCATTCATTATTTTTTGCAAATCTGCAATGTTGCCAATTCGTTCATTCCAAATACAGAATATATCGTCTAGGAATCGTTTCAACTGATTTTCTAAATATAATCTGTAATCCACCCCATGTTCAATTTCTACAATTGAGTATAGTTTTTTCTCAAGGAATCCCATTGTTAAATTACTTAATTGTGGTGCCGCCTTGGTACCCATCGCTATACCAAGAATCTGTTTGTAATTGGTTTCGCCAAATGTAAAAGTGTTGTTAGTCAGGATGATTCGTATAGCTTTGAGGATGAAGCTGTTTGAAATTCTCTCATGACTGCATTCAGGATGTTTATCCAACCAATATTCTATGGCCTGAAGGCATAGGTCATGGGAAATGTTGCCATACATATTACAAACATCCATGGTTACGAAAACGTCGCCATCGTTCAGATTTTGGGGCAATCTATTAACAAAATCTATGTCATCCCGAATAACAGATTTTACAATTGGCACGTACGGCTTAAGAAAAATATCAATAAGATTTGATAGTCTATTAGTAGGGCAGCACGGACCGGCAATTATTGGTCTGAATGTGAGATCACTTGGCTGGAAAACACTGATGAATTCGGCATTTTGGTGTTTAATAGACTCCTTGATCATCTTGGATTTATGGATTTTTGGAAGACCATAAAACTGACTTGTTTTGTACTCAAATGTTCGGAGATAATCCTGTTCGTTGTACGTCAGTTCGTTTTTGTGATCTTGGATTAAGGCGTTTATTAATACCATTGTTCTTTTATCATGGTTGGAATCTAGGGTTGTATACACCCGTTTGTCGTCAAGTATTTTAAGGACGTTTCTCTGATAATATTCCGCATCCATGATAACTATGGCACCCCCTTTATCGCTTTCCTTAATAACGATCGTGTCGTTAGATTTCAAAGATTTTATAGCACACTGTTCCTCCTTCGACACATTTGATTTTGCGTTGCGGTTTATAGGAAGTGGCAACTTGGTTAAATAGTCAATGAAATTGTCCAGCGTCACGTCCTTGCCCCGCCTGGGATTGAAGTGACTTTTGTTCCGTACAATATCCTCTGGCGCAGTTTCATCTGTTTCACCGAAAAATACCTTCAGTCGTAGCTTCCTACAGAAAGCGTTTATATCACACTCTAATTCCTGTATATTGGCTCTAGGCGTCGGTGTGAATTTCAGGCCTTTCTGTAGGAGGTTTATCTCTTGATCATTTATAACTGTGGATGATATATTAATTATTTTCGGGTGTACTGGTTCCCGCGATTGGGTGTTGTGGTTTCGTTGTTGGAGCGACGCTGAGTTTTCTTGTTGTACTGTTGTGGGGGTCGGTTTTGTGAGGGTGGTCGGTGCGGTTGGGATTGGCCTTTCTGAAAAAAGCGATCCTGCGTAGTGTGCCCAGACCGCTGTTGTTTGGTATTCCCTTGGTTGGTGCTCGACACATTGGTCACGTTTCTCCCATCTTTCTTCGGCACATTCGGTCTTTTATATCCATTATTACGTGCCCTTGGTTGTTCTTTGGGTTTAGTCCCTAGTTTTCGCTTTTTATTGTTGACCATTTGCCAGGTGTTTCTGGGTGGAGCTGCGTTGGATGAATTAGGTGTCTCTGTGTTGTGACAAACATTCGCCTCGGTATGGGTGTCCTCCATTTCTTCAGCACGCGTAGGTAAGTTTATCAAGAATTCCTTCTTCTTTTTCCATATTGCGTGTGATTTATTTTCCTCCGTAGACATTTCTTTGTTCCACATATTTTTCAGAAGTTCCACTAGTTCTTGGTCTTGGTGTCCTTCAATATGTGCCAATAGTTCCGTCTCTGCTTTATTAATGACTTCTGTTTGTTTAGCAGAGAATTCAAACAGGGAGTCGATTTCATTTTGCATCTTTAGTATGTCAACTTCGTTTCTGCGTTTTGCTTGGTTCTCCGATTCGTTCAATCTTGGGTTTTCCTTGATTTTACGAGGGATAAAAGGAGTCTCCAATTTATATATATATATAATGCGATGGATGGAAATGTAATATATATATTACAGGTTAAATCGTCACGTAAATTTAAAACTAATATTGAAAATTAAAAAGCTAATGAGCAAGATTAAAATCCGTTGGACATGTCAATAAACTTGTTGTTTACATCGGTACAGTGGGATGTGGACCCGAACAAGAGAAAGTTAATGTTTTTAAGATCGTATTGTAATTTGTCTATGGCTTCCTTTCGTGCATTTGAATGTAAAGAGCATTGCAAGAGGTAGTGATCAGGATCTTTAAAAATGTGACCACAGAGGCATGCGGGACTATCAGCAACATGTCTGAGGTATTTGTGGCCTTGTAGGTCAGAACATCGGGTATTATTGCTTCATTAAACTCTGGCAAGTTGGTACGGGAGTCGGGTTAAAACCATATTTTTATTATTTGTGTCACTCACGTGTTGTTATATAATTTTGATAATAATATCTTGTGACTAATCTGACTATTAATATTATTACTTTGTGATTTACTCCAGTTTTTAATAATATCTTATAATCAATCTATCTTTAATGGTATTTTGTGGTTAACGAAGAATGCTCATATGAATCAAGCGGTTTTGTAAAGAAATCGACAAAATCTTAATCACCCTACCCCACCATCGAGTATAGTAAAGTAATCTTCTCAAATAAATAAGATTCGATCACACCCATATAAATGAAGTATAGCAATCATCATTCTGGTAAAGTAAAATTCCCACATAGGCAAGATGTAGCATTATGTGTTCTATAAATAGTTACGTTACGTTACATCCAATACTTTACGATTAGGGATGGGGTTCTTGTCTCGTGACAAGGTGGCGTTAGTCTACCACTTCCGGTTTCGGAGTTATGACCCCCGAGCGAAGCCTCGTTTTTTGTTACTTTATCAACTTGTGATGATATTTTTTGGTATCAAAAAAGACTGGTAGGATATTCTCTATGTATCCTTTTTTAAGAGATTCAACCCTAGGTATACTTAGTGAACGCATACAAAAGTAAATAAATCCCCATTGAAAATTAATTCATAAAACCCAAACCCCTTCTTGCTTTGGTAAATATGTCCATGTTTTCTGAGACTGAAGGTCGATGTAACAGATATAAAACGAGCAAAATGATGTGTTTTAGCTAGATCCTTGGTCGGTATATTTTGTTTTAATGAATGAACATTTCTATTTATTTAGCAACCTCCATTGCTTCAGTGTCCACTGTCACCACTACAGTAATTGAAACCAGTATTGCAACCACCACAGTAGTGTTTGGAACCAGAATTGCAACCACCCCAGTAGGGGAACCGAGTGCTGTAACCACCACAGTAGTGGGACCATGCTCCCCGACCATCACAGTAGTGGAGCCATGTTCCCCAATCACCACAGCAGTGATTGAAACCAGTACTGCAACCACCACAGTAGTGGAGCCATGTTCCCTAACCACCGGCTTTGGTGTCCAACCGTCATCAACTGGGGTGGCGTTCCTAGGATCTGACGGAGTTTTGCGATCGCAAGTATGTCGAGACGTTGTGGTTGTGACATCTGCAATGATTGAGGACGCTATCAGCACTATCTACAAGGAATTAAAAATCGACAAAAGTAAAATGTCGTCCGTTATTAGAAAAAAAGTGAGTCAGAAAGATGAACGAACCAGCTCAGCTACTATTGGCTATTTTGGGCTAATCTTTTTTATCCTGCCATTGGCTTTGATAATCATATCTGATGCTCCCAAACTAATAGAGCATTTGGCAACACTCAGACACCCCAGACAGTAAGGCACTTAGAATTGATGGAGACTATCATTTGGGCACAATAAACAATTTTGTGACGTTGATAGTGTCCCAGCATTCGTTCTCCAATTCTTCAGCTGAAGCAACATCGGGGTCGTTGAGTAAATTCTGTCGATACTGCTTTCTTAATATAAAATAAAGATACATTATGTAAGATTGGGATAAAGAGCTAGCCAATCTTCTATAATAGTTCGAAAATAGATAATGAATAATTTGAAATTTTCATTCATATTACTCTTTTGCGAGCGAAGATATTAGCCTTTGAAGGTTTGACAAGACGTGTGCAATAATTTCAACCACCGTACTGGATGTTCGAAGCTAAGTATCGCTCCTCCATTTTTAGATTAAATCAAAATATAGCTGAAGCGTTCTAATCTATTTTATATCGGAGAAATCCGATGCCATCGAGAGTTGATTATGGCCTGGGTCAGTTAATTAATGTCTAATTAATAATTTAGAAAACATTTCAGGCCTAAAGAAATACCTGCAATAGGAAGATTTAGCTCTTGCATAATGTATGTTTAATATTTACTTATTTATCTTATTTATAATGTGCTGTAAATTTTAAATAATGTTTACTTAATTTTTCTTATAATGTTATATAAATTTTAACTTATATTTACGTGTTTATCTTACAATGTGATATAGAGAGAGAGAGAAATGGGATTTAACGTCCACTCGACACAAACTAGGTCATTTCGGGACTAACATATCGTTTAATTTTATTTCAATAATTCGCTTGCGCATAGGGGTCTTTAGCAGTGGGAGGAAACCGGAGGACCCGGAGAAAACCCACGAGGTTGGACAGTCGACCCTACTCCTTGTCACGTACAACCGGGGATTCGAAACCACGCCAGTCGACTCAATGGCAGACTTTATGATACAGCGCGCGCACGCTAACCATTCAGCCATCCAACCCCCCAGAATGTGATATAAATTTTAACTAATATTTGCTTATTATAATTTGCCATCAATTTTAACTATTATGTACTTATTTATCTTATATATAATGTGTTATAAACTGTAACTAATTGTGTGAATTGTAAAGAATTATCTATAAGCTGTTCTGTGTGAATAAATATTAAAATATAAACCTTTTTGACTATAGGGGGATCACGGTGGCTAAGTGGGTAAGACGCTGGCTCGCTAGCCTGGAGGTCGGGTGTTCGATCCCTGCATTGGCCGATAAAGTTCATCCCGATTTTATGGCGTGGTTCCCCTTGCCAGTGATGCAGGATGGAGAGCCTGACAAGGATAGCTGTCTAGTCTTCGGATGGGATGAAAAACCGAGATCCCGTGTTCTCATTGGTGCACGTAAAAGATCACTTGACAGTTGGAATTCGATATAAGAGTAGGCCATAGTGCCGCTGTCCGGGCAAAATTTCCCTCATAGCACACTGTATGGCGTATGTCCGTCATCATTAGCCCAGTTCGGAGCAGAACAGTAGGACGTTAACCCCCATTTCATTTCATTTTTGACTATACAGCGCATCACCGTTCCAATTTTTAAACAATCAACCTTAGCTAGGTTAATGGACATGCTCACTAATCTGGAGGTCCGGTGGTCAATCCCTGTGTTGAGCGATTCAACCTTGTGGTTCAACCTTGTTAATGTTGCAGAGCGGAGGGCCTGACAAGGGCCAATGTATTGTTGTTCCGATGGGATGAATAACCGGGGCTCTGTGTACACATTGGTGTGGACTAAAATGAACGGCTGACAGTTGGAATTCGAAATAAAAATAGGTCGTAGCACCGCTGACCGGGCAAAATGTCCCGCATAACACACGGTATGGAGTATGCCCGTTTTCATTACCCCAGTAGGAACAGTAGGATGTTAAACCCCAAAACTGCGGTTGTTCAAATTGTAGAAAAGCATAGGAATTTATACTTTTATTCAAACGAGAGGAAGCAAATAATAAATATAGTACTCGTAACAGGAGAAAACTCTAATCAATATTTAATTAACAGACCATATATTTATAATAATAATAATAATCTTTATTAAGATCTCACAATTAAACATTTGAATATAATTTACAAAATAGTTCATACTGTCAAAACAATATTTATAAAATTATAAACAATGAAAAAATAATTATGCGAAATTTGTTTGATCGGGTGATTTTCTAGAATCCTTTCGAAATAACATTTATTGGATACTGTCTTGTAATTGGTCATATGATAAGTATTATTGTTATTATTATTATTATTATTACAGCATATTTATAGTGCGCCCTTTCATATAACATGTTCAGGGGCACTTTACAAAGTGACAATGGGATCATAAAAAAACAACAAGATTATGGACATGTTAACGATTGTATACAGATTCAGTTAAAAGCCTGGTTAAATAAATGTGTTTTAAGTTGTTTTTTAAAAGAATATAGAGATGTACAACATCTTAAACTAAATGGTAGATTATTCCATAAAAAGTACGCCTTGGAACCGATATGCTAAAGCCAGGATAAAATGAAAACGACACTACATTTAACCAAACAGTTCTGTAGATCATAAGATCTGTCGTTGAGTCGAGCTGCGTGGTTTTGATCCCAGGCTTGTGCCATATCCTCTGGTTTGCTCTCACTGCTCAAAGACCCATATGCAGTTGTTCCTTATGTGAGTCCCAAAATGGTAAACAGGCAAAATCTCGCTCTCTCTCTCTCTCTCTTTCTCTCTCTCTGAAGAAAACACCCGGGTATGCTTCTACGCCGTGTGTTTTTCTCGGGTTAATCCATAGCAAGCATATAATTTCGAGTTAGGAAGGTACGGTTACGTGTGTGTGAGGGGTTTGGGACGAGAGAGGGTGTCAGCAGCCAACTTATCAAAGTTCACTCTCTTTCTCTCAATCAAAGTTCGCATATATATTGTGTGTATTTGTTTTTTGAAGTGCGCCTAGCAGATTATCTAACTTGCATTTATCGAATTCGTCCAATGACTTATGTATTCTGCCTACCAGTAGGATTGGTTTTAACTGTATTATATAAATTAATCGATAACATCTACAACTTGGGTAGAATTTATATCTTCTAGCTGGTCTGAATTAAATATTATAACTAGTTCTCTCTCACCAAGTTTTCTAGAAGTCATCTCAAACTTGGTCTCAAACGCCTTGTGAGGATCTACGTTTCTGGAATAAAAATAATATTCAGGTGTAAAACGTTTTCAGCTATTCAGAAGAAATCGAAATATGGATCAAAAACTGGATTTCTACAAAACCAATACAGCTTTGTTAGCAAAACCGCAAAATATACTCTTCAAAAAAAGTAGGGGATATTGAAATCAAAATACCTATGCAGGTTGCGATATGATAAATAGTCATGGACACTTGACATGCTTTGAGAGTATGTTCGCAGATGAAGAACTTATCGCCCCAACAGAACCACTGAGCTGCACATGCGACACGCAATAGCGCCATACACGTGGGAGGGGTTCATTGTCAAATTTGACACTTCAAGGAAGGGTTGATGAAAACTGCCGCGTGCTGGTTTATCCTATCCATGTTTGCTTTCCTATCGGTTCTTGCATACGATTAACTGTTTAGCGAATCTTTGCTTTAGTGTGTTACGTTTAATTTGATCGGGAAATGTCGACGTCAACGTCAACCGACAACACTGCAAGAATTGGCCGTGGCTCTGCAAGAGCAGTCGGTCAGATTGCCCCAAATCTTGATTGGATGGTTGATTAGGTAGGAGCATGCCACGACGAAATGCTGAATGTCTGAGGATTGATGGAGGAATTACTCATTATTAAGACAAAAATCAAAAACGTCCGTTTTCACTTTTGACAGCGTATCTCTTTGCGAGTGAAATGGGGCCGTCAGATAAGCCGCCCGTATGAAATGTTTATGTTCATGTGTAGGCAATTGGTCTGTTATTAATACTGGTTACCTCTAATAAAAACAGCAGCGCATTTCCGCAGTTTTGTATTGTTTCTGAATATCCCCTACTTTTTTTTAAGAGTATATATTGGATACGAGTTGAAGTTTAACGTCTCGTCAAAACAATACTTCCATCATTTTGAGACTAACATATGTTTTGTTTCTATGGTAACGTATGCAATTATAATTGGAACTAGATCTGCATAGCAGATATCAAAGCTTTCATATAAACTTCAAAAGGGGTTATTAGAATCTATGAATCAACAACCACTCTGACGGAAGATATTCTCTGGGCTAAAAAATCTTTTTTCTCTCAGCTACGAGAGATACGTAGAATTAAACCGGCCCAGAGCCGACCGTGTTGATACGAAGCCGCTTATTTGACATTGACACATAACTGAAGGTGAATAGGCCTACCCGTCCAGTTAATACAATGGGCAATCTCACATCGGTCCACTAAAGAGAGGCACATGCTAGTCGCCCCCTACTTCCCCAAGACATTTAGTCCAAACCTTGACTCTCATACATATAAACCATTTGGTACTACATGTACATGTATTTCGTACTTATATCATATTAAACCCCTCGGCCGCCATGTTGAATCACACAGTATTTAACGTTCTATATCCTAACATCTTTATGAAATCAACGACAAATCTAAACTTGGGCACTCCAACCATTTTTATTTTTACATCATTCAGTTTTTTTTTAAAACAGTAATTCTATCACAAATTATAGTGAAGACTGGACCACTAAACTAGTTACCCATCAGTTTTCCTTTGTGTTAATGCGTTCTACATTTTCAAAGCAATGATTCTTATAATGTGCGAGCCGCCATGACACCGGCGGATATTATAACTTCGATAGGCGAGAAACTTCAGGTAGTAGTTGGGTTTCATCAAATCATATAATTATGCGGTACGGCTTCACCTTTATTTCAATGGGAATTGGTTTATTATATGTGCAGTGCAGTTTTAGGTCAGTTTATGTGTAAATTAAGGGAGCTATACATAGGCCAGTAACCTTTTTGTAGTCATTTGACTAAAAAAAACTTGCGGAAAGGAACTCCGTAGGACAGGCCACTACTGTGGCAGGAGTAAGGCGGAAGACATCAGTAGTGGAACCATTTCTAAGTTAATCCCGAAGTGCGTTGCTATTGTAAGAATATATAAAATCGGGTTTCCGATCCGCTTTTTTTTTGCTGTAGTTTGAGTAATGAGTTAGAGCGTATATTTTGTAGTCAAAAAATCATTGCAAATAGAAGACCTCATCCCCACCACCACCAACCTGTAATACACTAGCTAGCTTGTGTATTTCCATATTCCATTTCCGAGAGATAGATAGAAAACACGCGAAATATAAAGTGATTTTTCTTACAATCAGGGACCATAATTCATGAAGTTACGATTCGATATGCGCAAATATCGAAAGGAACCATATCTTTGGGTTATAAACATGCATGTCAAGTTTCATCAAAATCTTTCACTGTGAAAAACCGGGGCTAAGTCATCTGAAATCAAACAAATTTTACAATGTAGGTAGTGAAAACAAAATGTTATGTTAAGCGTTGTTCGAGGGTGGGGTGGGTGCATAAAATTCCAAATGCAAAGGGTTATTTTTCGTGCACGCCAATATGCACACAGGATTTCGATTTTTCGTCCTACCTAAAAAACTGCACGCAAAGTTAGTTGTCGGGCCTTCGGTCAAGAACCACAGACAAAGGGACAAGAACAAACGACTTGAACGAATGCAGGTATCACCTTGAAATTTTCAGGGTGCCTATGTACCAACGTGAAAAGTTGCTCGCCGGAATTTAGTACTCATGGTACCGTTGGTTCCTGTGTAGCGCATGTGCGAAATCAAAACCAGCTAAACTCGAAAACAACCTTGTCGGCACGGAAAACATCAAAGGAGAAATTCGAATTTTTGAAATATTCAAATACCAAACATTCGACCATGATCCAGGCTATCCTCAAATGTATTAATTTCGGTAATAGGAGATAGATTCTCTAAGCCACGACCAATTGTGTATGTTTTCAAGCCCATAAATGTGGATTTTTCACTAATTTTCATTTTCATTTCAAAATGGCGTCCATCAGTTGACCTAAATCAAAATTCTAAACCGATAGATTTTTAGGCTTTCCTTCAAGCATTCAGAAAATGTAACTCTTATGTCTTTAAGTAAAATATTGCAAAAGCCGTATGGACTTTTCACATTTTGAGATGGTGGCACTTCCGGTTTGCTCGACAAACTCCATATTTTGTGTACTCATCAGTACTGTCTTAGCTAGTACAGAACAAAAATTTCAAGGCAATCTGACCTATATTTCGTCGATTTTTTTGAAAACTTTGATCCATAATTTCACCAAGGGGAGATAATTTAGAAAATTTCCAAGGACATCATTGAAGTCGCATTGGCAAGATCTACTAACATTCTAAATTTCACGAAAATCGCACAACTATTAAAGAAGTTGTCAAATTGGTAATAACTTCCGGTTCAAAATGACAGCGACGAATTTTCGAAATGCCAAAATCCGAAATTGCAGATTTGAAGTAAATGTTTCAAGATACTCAAAGAAAAAAGAATTAGTAAAATAGGTCAAATAGTCACAGAGTTACAGCATTGTAGGTCAAATGCATTCCTTCGTAAAATTCGGTGATTTCGGATTCGTAAAACGTTTTGAAAATATATTTAATCAACAGCCACCACCCATTTTTGGGGGGATAGGTAAAAGTTTCAGAACGATCCTATTGTTAGATTCTGAGAAATCCGATTTGTGGACAAAACACAAAAAAAAAACTAGATCTGCATAGCAGATATGAAAGCTTTCATATTAACTGCAAAGGGGGTTATTAGAATCTATTGAAACAATAAGTATAAATGTCATCAGGTATCTGAAAAATTACATTTACCTTATGAACAAAATGGGAAAAATACAAAACAAAAATTGTCGACTTGTGGCTACCATCCAAGGCATATTTAGAAAACCGTATATTATATTTATAGAGTACGCAGGACAGGAATTAGTTGTGCTTCAATGTAAACCGGCCCGTTTCTTGCCTTTAGTTTTAGAGTTAGGTGTGATTTTCAAAAGATTCAATCGGAAATCGCTGAAAATCAATTGGCTTCTTCATCTCATGACCTTAAACACTGTATAAATTTAAGGTCAATCGGATATTGAATTTAGCTTCTAGAGCGCCCACAAGATTTTTTAAAGTGATCAAGGGCAATAACTCTCACGGTAATTATCGGAAATGGCAGTAAATATCAGATATCGCTGAAAATCAATACTGTAGGCATCTTCGTGTCATGACCATAAATTTAAAGTCAATCGGATATTAACTTTGGCCTCTAGAGCGTCCACAAGATATTTTGAAGTGATCAGGGGCCACAACTCTGGCAGTAAATATCAGATATCGCTGAAATTCAATCGCCTACTTCGTCTCATGACCTTAACCACTGTGTATAAATTTAAAGTCAATCGGACATTAACTTTGGCCTCTAGAGCATCCACAAGAATTTTTTTAAGTGATGAAGGGCCATAACTCTGACAGTAATTATCGGAAATCGCTGAAATTCAATTTCAATGTGGGCGTATAAAAATTAACCGATGGCATATAATATTTAATGTATGATAAAGACAAAATAGTCGATTTCGGTTTTTGGTGTTGCGCTCATTTTAAAAAAAAATGTCTTTTACGGATAATGTGTATAGTACTAATAGCAATCACATACGGAAGAGGCGATAAGATCCCTTTGCATTTGGAATTTCAAAATTAATTAAAACCAAATTTATATTCCGAAAATCGGTTGTTTATTTTTTGCTGAAACTCCTTTTTTTAATCTGATCAAAATGGGAGTAAGTCACAGAGTGGTAATTGGCATATTGTGTCCAAATTTCATGGTTTTGGGACAATCGGTGCCGGTTTCGTGGCGAAATTCCACTTTTTTCGCCCTTACAGAAGCCGTAAATGGCGGAAAAAAACGAACGGCAGGAACCGTGTCAAGAACAAACGATCTGAACGAATGCAGGTATCGCCTTGAAGTTTTCAGTGTACCAACGTGAAAAGTTCCTCGCCGGAATTTGGTAGTCAACGTACCTTTGGTTCCAGCGTGGCACATGCGCGAAGCAAAAAGAAATTACGGTCGATTTTGGGATTTTGGCTATATTTCGGAGTGGTTTGGTAGATGACGGTGGATCAGGGACTCAGATTGATCTAAAATGGCGATCATAACACAACATGATAATCACTTTGAAGTATAGGTAAATTTTCGCGACCGGGTCGTTTTGCTCTACCCAGGCAACGTTCCTGTGCTCCGATTGCCTTCAAATTTGCACAGAATGTACCTTGGGATTCTAGCTATCACATATTAAAAATAGAAGAGTGTTGGATTCCGATGGGATTCTAGCTATCACATATTAAAAATAGAAGAGTGTTGGATTCCGAGAACGTTCAAAATAAATTCAAAACCCACCCCCAACAATCAAAGGTTTTTTGCTTAAAAAATTGCCGTATTTTATCGAATTTTTATTGTTCTTGATATCTGAGGATTTTCTCAATTTAATATGTGATAAATATCATCGCGGCGCAGCCAACCGCTAGAAATTCCAGAGATTTGGACCACCGGAAGGATGCCTCAGCAGTCAAAAAAGGTCAAAATAGGCGATTTCGGTTTCTAGTGTTGATACATCGTTACGGTCATTTTAAAAAATTGTCTTTTAAGGATAATGTGTATAGTACCAATACCTATCACATAAGGAAGAGGCGATAAAATCTCTTTGCATTTGCAATTTCAAAATTAATTAAAACCAATATTAAATTCCGAAAATCGGTTTTTTGCTAAAACTCTTTTTTTTAAATCGGATCAAAATGGGAGTAAGGCACAGAGTCCGGGGTGGTAATGGGCGTATTGTGTCCAAATTTCATGGTTTTCGGACAATCGGTGCCGGTGTCACGGCGAAATTCCACTTTTTTCCCCTCATGGAAGCCGTAAATTGACTTGAAGCCAGGGTCCTTGAAGTTGTACAGCTGCACCCGGTGACCGATATTTATTTAACGGGGAATAAGTGATAATTCATATTATAGCAGTAAATAATTAAAATATTTCATAGGGATTATAATAATATCTATATCTTGTCTGGGTACAGGGTTAAAACCAATATTAAATTCCGAAAATGGTTTTTTGCTAAAACTCTTTTTTTTTAATGGGATCAAAATGGGGGTAAGGCACAGAGTACGGGGTGGTAATGGACGTATTGTGTCCAAATTTCATGGTTTTCGGACAATCGGTGCCGGTGTCACGGCGAAATTCCACTTTTTCCCCTCATGGAAGCCGTAAATTGACTTAGAAAAAAAACGACGAAAGGCAGGTGACAAGAACAAACGACTTGAACGAATGCAGGTATCACCTTGAAATTTTCAGGGTACCTAGGTACCAACGTGAAAAGTTGCTCGCCGGAATTTAGTACTCATGGTACCTTTGGTTCTAGCGTAGCGCATCCGCGAAGTCAAATCCAGCTAAACTCGAAAACAACCTTGTCGGCACGGAAAACATCAAAGGAGAAATTCGAATAAAAAATGATACAATGATTTCACACAACAGGCCAGCTATTAGCCTCTCGATTGACAAGAGTTTCATCGCCCTCCATTCATTATAACCAATGTCATCGTGCCCTAAAGAATCAACAAATCAGCTTGCTTATCTCTGCTTACCCTAGGCAAAAAATGCTCATCTTTGAACTCAATCATGACATTGACCTAGTGAACGCCTACACCAAGTTTGAACATTCTAGCTTAATTAGAAGGAGAGTTCTTGTGTTCCAAAGTCCCGGCCCTTCAAATTGCTTCTATTTTTCATTTTCAATTCAAAATGGTGACCATCACGTGACCGAAATCAAAATTCTGATCCGATAGATTTTTAGGCATTCCTTCCAGGATTCCGAAAATATGACGCCCGAGTCTGTAAGTAAAATAGCAAAAAAGCCTTTTTGATTTTTCACGTTTAAAGATGGTGGCACTTCCGGTTCGATCGACAAACTCCATATTTTATGTACGAATCAGTAATTACTTGTCTAGTATATAATTTTTTTTTTAGGTCATTCTGACCTATATTTCGACGATTTTTTTGAAAACTTTGATCCTTAATTTCACCAAGGGGAGATAATTTAGAAAATTTCCAAGGACATCTTTGAAGTCGCATTGGCAAGATCTACTAACATTCTAAATTTCACGAAAATCGCACAACTATTAAAGAAGTTGTCAAATTGGTAATAACTTCCGGTTCGAAATGACAGCGACGAATTTTCGAAATGCCAAAATCAGAAATTGCAGATTTGAAGTAAATGTTTCAAGATACTCAAAGAAAAAAGAATTAGTAAAATAGGTCAAATAGTCACAAAGTTACAGCATTGTAGGTCAAATGCATTCCTTCGTAAAATTCGGTGATTTCGGATTCGTAAAACGTTTTGAAAATATATTTAATCAACAGCCACCACCCATTTTTGGGGGGATAGGTAAAAGTTTCAGAACGATCCTATGGTTAGATTCTGAGAAATCCGATTTGTGGACAAAACACACAAAAAAAATAACAATAATAATCTTAACAGAAACAATAAGCTTTCATATGTAATATGAAAGCTTAATAACAATAATAATCTTAACAGAAACAATAAGCTTTCATATGTAATATGAAAGCTTAATAAAGTTGCCTGGACAACGGTGTTTCTACCAACTCTTAATCCGATTCATTATGTTCATGGTTCATTTACGTGCTTGCCAATGTGTACACGGTTGGACCAAATCGCGTAGATGGACATTAAAACATGATTGCGAAATATTATGTATATCACTAAATAAAAGTTACCCGAGTCTATGTTGTTGTCTCTTTTGTAGACCCGGTCCTTCAACTTCCAAATAACAATTAGTTAAACTTTCACCCAGAGGATTAGTAAACGATACTTCTACGTCAAATGATTTCGCCTTCTTGATCTTGGCGGGAATCTGGAAAACATATAAAATGGCAAATGAGAGCACCGGTAACAATAGTTTATTAGAAATGAATCCATCATCAGTTATTGATACACGTATTTGTTAACCACACTTCTACTTTAATTGATTTTGTCTGCTTTATAATGGATGGAACTGAAATCGGGTTTAACACATCAATGTTCTCCACCGACTACGCTAACGAAGACGGACACACAGTGTGCCATGAGTGAGTTTTTGCCAGGACAAGAGATAGAGAGAGAAATGAGGTTTAACGTCCACTCGACACAAACTAGGTCATTTCGGGACTAACATATGGTTCAATTTTAGTTCAATAATTCGCTTGCGCGTAGGGGTCTTTAGCAGTGGGAGGAAACCGGAGGACCTGGAGAAAACCAACGCGGTTGGAATAGGCGACCCTACTCCTTGTCACGTAAAACCGAGGAATGGAAACCCCACCAGTTGACTCAATGACAGACCGTATGATACAGCCAAACGCGCACGTGCTAACCATTCGGCCATCCACCTCCCCTTGCTCGGACAGCACCACTGCTACTCTTAGTTCGAATTTTGTCACTGGTTCTTTTACGTGCACGCTAATGTGTACACGGGACCTCTGTATAAGTCCCTTAGAACGACTAGACACTGCTCCTCGTCAGCCCCCCCCCCCTCGCCCTGCACTACCTACAAGGGGTAACCACGTCGGATAATCCCGAGGAAATCCACTGTGACACGAACTGTAAGCAGCAGATGGTATATAGTGTTAGAAAACGAACAGGGATTTACGTATTGATAAACAGTACCGCAGAATTACAAAAAATTGTCCAGTATTGAGGGCAAAATTATAGATCTTCGCACTAGTCCATATTAGAGCAAATTCCCTTGCGACGCAAGTTTCTAGGTAAAAGCTTACCTTTATTGATAAAGATGGTTTGCACAATTTTATGACTTTTTGTGGTGTAAAGACTTGTTTTGTATCTTGTACCTTGACCATTGCAGACAGTTTAAACATACACATATCCTTTAATTTCAAACGATATTCATCAAACGTAATTCTCATTGTTTTCTCCATAGCTAGAAAAATATAATACAAAATAGGTTTCGATAATAATGTATTTTTTTTAATTAAACCACACTGTTCTAGATCATATAAAACAGGGGCATTTACTATTACAGTGATCATGCTTACGTCTCTGAATAATGCGTATCAAAACGCTGCATGAGTCGCTCTGATTTATCTGAGACAAAAGTGATATTATGTACATTTTGTTTATGTAAAACGGAGTCGCAAATATGTCTTCTGCACCGTTTTAGGCTATATAAAATGGCTTGATTGTTTCCTTGGGTATACTTTTGGTGTGTGTGTGCGGGGTGATGGGGGGGGGGGTTAAGTTGATATCACATTGCGGCACATTCAGAGTTTTATATTCCCCACTACGCCGCCATTTTATCTGTGTAAAGGGTAGTCGCCTGTATGGCTGCTGTACTATTTTATGATATAACATGGCTTGATTTGTTATTTACTTTTTTGATTAACTAAGCCGAATTTTTATAATTGCGCTCCAGTTTTATTTTCACAACGATCTCTCCATTAGCCATATGACCAAATAAATGTAAATAACTAATAGTTTAGTCTTTACCGGGGCCACCGACTTACATTTTCCTGGCTCAACCATCTCTTCAAATAATTCTGCTTTAACTCGGTTTGCTTCTACACCAGTATAAAACATAGTTTTAGCTGCTAGTTGACCCCCTACAGTCCGATCTGCACTACTTGTATTTGTGACTTGGAGAACCACATCGAAATCTTCACCAACAAACACACCATCTTGTACTACTAGTTCAAACTCAACATCCTGTATGGGAAAAGATAAAAACACACCCAAAAGAATTTTTAAAATCAGTTTCACGTTAAGCCCCACCATAGTGGGTCAATAAAAAGACACCATGCACTATACCCATTTTAAATTACCATTGCGAAGATCTGAAAACATTGCCAGTCACAGCCATGTTCAAACGATTTCAAGGCAATTGAACCTTATTGGCATCTATTAGAAGGTAAAAAATACAGAAAGCTATCAGATTCAGAATGAAAGTAGATAAGTGTATCAATCTAATAAATATAGTAAGCTATTAGATTCAGATTGGTATAATAACCTTTCTGAAAGTAGATAAGTTTATCAATCTAATAAATAGAGTAAGCTACCAGATTCAGAATGTTATCATAACCTTTCTGAAAGCAGATAAGTTTATCAATCTAATAAATATAGTAAACTATTAGATTCAGAATGCCATAACCTTTCTGGTGTAGATAAGTTTATCATTCTAATAAATAGAGTAAGCTATCAGATTCAGAATGTTATCATAACCTTTCTGAAAGTAGATACGTTTATCAATCTAAACATACAGATTTAGATTGTTATCATAACATTTCTAAAATTAGATACGTTTATCAATCTAATAAATATAGTAAATGTTTGTCCCTCTGTGTTATTGACCAGAAAACCCTACTAGGTATATTATTTGGTAGGAAATATAATGTTATTGTATATAATAAATACATACCTCTGGCCCTATCTCATAAGTTGATTTTCTAACAGCAACACCCAACTGTCTGTGAGCATTGATGACAGCTGCCCTTTCTTCATGTGAATCTGTAATAATAATTCTTCTCTTTCAATATGCTATGGGGAAAATTTGAATGGACAGCGGCGTTTTCGTTACTAATAGACAGAGAGAGTAAGTTTATTATGTTATTGACTATCCAGAACAGATCTTTCAGTTGTGAGCTATCAACGAAAGCTCACCTTTATCCTCAACATTTTCCCTTGGTCTAATAATATTATATCTGCCTATTATATAAAGTGTTAACCGGACGAGTCTGGTGCAATGAAAAAAAAACACACTTGTATTGAAAATAGTTTGTCCTGCATACATTTGAAACGATTGTTTCTGCTTCTTCTGCTTCTGCCGGATAATGTCCACAATCAAGAGTTGCGCATGACGGCTGAACGTTAAAAGGTTAAAAACAGGTTAAAAATATTTTTCGTGATTACGGAACCGAACACAACTTAGATTTGAATATCTCTAGTGTGTCGGAGGAAGGAATGTTCGGTGTTAGAGCATTCCAGTCCCTGATGGTCCTTGGGAAGTATGCATATTTCCTGTAATCACTACGACAGGATGGAACTTGGTATGAGTGGTCGTGTGTGTTTCTGCTACGCCGTAGTGGTGGTACAAGGAGTCTCTTGTTGATGTGGACTAGCCCTCTGTGTATCTTGAAGAACATTGCCAACCTCGCATGTTTTCGTCTTTCTTGTAGCGTGGTCCAATCAAGATTCTGCAGCATGTTGGTGATGCTGATTGTTCGTTACATATCTGGCTGCTCTGTGCTGCACCATTTGTAGTCGATCAATGTCCTTTTTGAGGTGAGGGTCCCATACACAGCTTGCATACTCTAGCTGGGGTCTAACAAGGGCCATGTATGCCTTTTACTTTATTGGGGGGGGGGGGCTGATGTTGAGGTTTCTCTTCAGAAAGCCGATGGTCTTATTGGCTCTGCCACAGATGTTACTGATGTGGTTTCCCCAGTTAAGGTCTGATGAGATGGTACATCCAAGATACTTTACTGGGTCCACTGAGTTGAGGATATGCCCGTGTAGAATGTAATCTCGTTTGATGATATTCCGCCTGTTCCTGGTTATGGTAATCACTTGGCATTTGGCTGGGTGGAAGATCATTTTCCATTTTTGTTCCCAGGCTCCTAGTTGATCAAGATCAGTTTGGAGTCTGTCTGCGCTGCTATCAGAGTGAACTGTCAGGTACATGATGGTGTCGTCAGCGAACAGACGTACTTTGGAGCGTATGTTATGTGGCAGGTCGTTTATGTAAAGTAGGAATAACGATGGGCCTAGCACTGATCCCTGGGGGACCCCGGACTAAACGTCTACTTTCTCATATGTTTCTCCTGCTACAACTGGCGGATACATATTTTATGAGTAAAGAAACTAAACCGTAGAGATTACGATAAAAAACGTGTTGTTCATACCTTCTTCGTGTTTATAAAGTTTAGTAATGTCTTGTCTCTGATCATATAGGGGAAATTTAGTGCTGATTTTCTTACCGACACTGTAATTATACAAGAACGAAAAACATTTCGATTTAAAACTGATAGCATTTAACGATCTAAATACAGAACGAAATAATTAAATTGAAAACAAAAACTCGATGACAAAAATTGTTGACACTAATTTACAAGTGTATTTTGGCAACAAGCATTCTCTGCTTGGTTATGTTGATGTTCACCATACACTGTCCGTGAAAGTGCAGATGAAATGAAATGGTGTTAACGTCTCACTTTTCTGCACCAACCGGGATAATGAAGACGGGTATACGCCAAATATTTTGCCCTAACATCGGTGCTACTACAGCCTAGTCTTATTTCGATATGCAACTGTCGGGTGATCTTTAACGTGCTGCCAATGGAATACATAGAACTTTGATTTTTCGTTCGATCCAGAAAACGACAAGATGTTATTTTACTTAAAAAGCCCCCTGTCCAATATCGATAACAAGAGGCAATCAGACAGGAAAGTCCCAAGCTACCGTGGCTCTCCTGTGAGATTGCAGACAAAACGGTGCGGTATGTACATCCGCTCTTGATCACAACCGAATAATTCAGTACCCTTTTTATATACTTACTGATTTTTGCGGATGTCATCGTTAATCATAGAACCATCGCGTAGATGCCAGAGGATTATATCAGCATTAACTTCAGCAAATACAAACGGTACGTCATAGAGTAGACCCAATTCTCCTCTTTTAACAGCCACAAGAGAGGCTGGACCACAGCAAAATACACCTAAACAAAAAGTAGCAAGGGGATTAAAACCTTCCACAAGGAAGATATAACATGTATTATAATAATCTATTATCGAAATCCCGATGATTATTAGAATGGTAGAAATTCAGCACACATATAGCATAGATCTCTGCCATGAATGACTGACATGTTAAGAAATTAGTATACTCTTTTGTTATGCGGTTCGGGATAAACACTACTCAAAATTCTCGAAGTATACTTATTGTAAAAAACACAACACAGTTTATATATGGAAATACAATCACTGGTTTATAAGTATAGCACGACCTTTCGACAGGTATTCTCTTATCGTTATCAAGCATCGTTATCGTTATCGTTGTGCTTGATAACGATAAGAGAATACTTGTCGAAAGGTCGTGCTATACTTATAAACCAGTGATTGTATTTCCATATAAACTGTGTTGTGTTTTTTAAAGTGTTAAATCGCTAAATGCCACTCAAGGATTATATACTTATTGTTTTCGACTACAATCATCCATGTAGGAATCAAAATGCCGGCCAACCAGTTTCGTGTCTGTAGATCGACGTTTCTTCGACTATCTACAGAATCTCAGTCCCGAAACATCGATTGCCATAACCTATGTTGCTATTTGATTGGTTCCAGATGGACAGTACTACATGACCATCTTGTAATACTACAGTGTGTCTGTTCAAATTTGGCTGCTATATCATGGCTATGGGTATAAGGTCGGATGAAGTCTAAAAGCGTTTTAGAGTTATATTACTTTCGGTTTCACGGAACTCCTGTGCAACATCGGTTAAACAGTTTATTATATATAGATATCGTTATTATTTAAACTCGCTTCACATTTATAATCTCCACAACGCCCCGCCCTTGGAGGTTGACTAACAGAACAATTACCATCACTTGTTTCTTGTGGTGTGGAATCTACAGCTTGCCACCCCCCATAACCTTCTGGTAAATCAGGTCTAGTCATCCATACTTCATTCCACACGTGGAAATTCCTGAAAAAAATTGCAATAAGATTGTAATTTAGTTTAGCGTCATACTTTTCTGTACTGACTGGTCTAATCATGGCGTCATGTACTGTGTTATAAGGGAAATGTTGCCCGGATAGCGGTGCTATATACAGCCTTTCCTTATTTTGATTTACAACTCTTTGGGGATCTTTAACGTGCTGGCTAAGGTACACACGAGAAATCAATTTTGCATCCCACCCACCCGCATGAACAGATGCCTTTAATTTCCTTGTAGGCTGGGAAATCCAGAGTAACTAGTCGAATTACCAACACATCAGATCAATATGACTAGAAAACATATTCTCGATCTCACTGACACCGGAAATGGTCTCAGCAACCATGTTTACATACCATGTCTTCAGAATTGCATCTTGTTAAAAGATACATCATGTAAGATTTAGATAGGCGAGCTGATCCTTTTTGCTATAATAGTTCATTACTAAATAATGCAAAATGAATATATTGAAAATTCATTCAAATTACTCCATTCTGGGCGAACTTATCACGGTTTTAAGTTTTGACAAGATGTGGCATAGATTGCTTATTACGTAACAGCCGTATTTGTTATTCGAGACTTAGCCTCGCTTCGCCAATTTTAAATTAAACCATTAAATGGCGACCGTATCTTAATACGTTTAAATCTCCGCCATCAAATAGTCTAGAGAGTTGATTATATGTTTGTCATTTATATAACATTTAAAGCCTAAATAAAGACGTGCATATTTAATGAATGCTAAATACTAACAAGATGGTTAATAAAACCTTTACCACTATAAATAATATGCATTTGTTGGGAGGGGGGGTGGGGTGTTGTACTAGTTATTAGTTAATTATTGTGTTCTTTCCTGTGCTGTTATTCCTAGATCAATTACGTTACAACTATCACTAAGTGCTATATTTGAACCAAAATATTACTTTACCAGATATTATCATCGGTTAAAGACTTATCAACTTCACCGTTTGTGTCAAAATGGATGTCGATAGAAACACTGCCATCTGTATCGTGAGCAGACGAAAAGTTGGTGACAGATCTGGCGGGAATACCAAGAGCACGACAAACTAAAGAAAGAAAACATTTTAATTCTAAAGAACGATTGAGTTTACTTTGTTAATGACACTGTTGTCCGTTGTTAGGACACACAACAAAGTGTGAGTTTCACCAAATTTCCACAAATAAGCAACTGCATACCTGTATGCTTTTATAGGTCAACAATTATATAAATATATATTTGAAAAGTTCAAAGATTGATAGTTTTATTGGCTATTGAGACATCAGAAAAGATCCAATACCGCCCATTTGTTTAATGACACACAACGAAGGGAAATTTTCATCATGGAGAAGTTAGTAATTTCCACATAGGAACAACTGCATTACTTTTTATAGCCAAAACTATTTGATGCATTTGAATAATTAAGAGAACGATAATTTTATTGAGTTAAGGGCAGCAGAAAAAAAACAACATTGCTTAATTATTTAATGTCAAACAAAGAAGTGTGATTTCCAAAATGGAAATTCAACCCATTGAAAGAACAAAGTTCATTATCATTATTATTATTACGTGTGATGTATTTGCACGACAGTTTAATTTCTTTACCTGTTGTTAGGACACCAGAAAAGACCCAACATTGTCCAAATTTAACAGGTTGTTTATTTATGTAAAATTCTTGTAGTATAGGGGCACTGCCAGTCCAGGTTAAAGGTGATTTACCATCTTTAAAATCTCTAGACCAATTACCAACTATCACCCCTCCATCATCAGAAGCATTTACCTGTAAAATTAAAAAGATTAACAAAATGAACATCATAGCGAAACTAAACTAATTCTTAAGACAATGATGTACTGTTATTTTCAAAGTAGTATAGAAAACTCTGAAATTAACCGAACAGATGAAGATTGATTCACTTCCAATTTAACCCAGGATTTATCTAAATGTCTCGGTAGGTATAACGCATGCTCATCGGTTTCCCATTGCCAATGGCGGAGAGCTTGACAAGGAAAAGAGTCTAATATTTTTGGCGAGTCCAAAAGAATACGCCTCTGTGTTTTGTCCTATCAGAACGAAGAGACACTCTTGCTTGCCAGGCCTTCCAATCTGCACCACTGACAAGGTGGAAACAAGATTTACCTCATGCATTTTCATTATAGCCTAGTTGATCTAGAAAAGTAAGACCTTAAACCCCATTTCATTTATGTGTGTTAGCTGCACGGCTGCTTTTCAAATGGGACCTTTAACATTGTGTTACATTACATTTTGAAAACAATTTATGTGGCTAAAAATGCTTATTTTCTAATTTATAGGGTGTTAATATATTTTAAAGAGCTGAAGCAAAAAATAAATCTTACCAAAGCTGTTATGTGGCTAAAAATGCTTATTTTCTAATTTTATAGGGTGTTAATATATTTTAAAGAGCTGAAGCAAAAAATAAATCTTACCAAAGCTGTTAATTGTCTTATTATATTAATTGGGTTTCCACGAACCGGCCATTTTAATTCTGATCTATCCAATATATACATAGCACAGTCCAGCACATGGTCTTCAAACTAATAAAAATACAATATAGTTCAATCTAATTTAATTTTAAATACAAATATGTTATTCACAGAAAATATTAAGGAACAGGCTTTTATATCAAAGGGGTTTTTAATCATCATGGGGTTGTGCGTTAGCTTAGTGATAGGGCGTCGGACCGTCAAATGCGAGGCAAATGGGTGTCGTCATGAGTTCGATTCCCGTTGGGTGCAAGGAAACGATGGATCCACGGTTCCGTGCTTTTGTAAAGGACCCTCCCGCTAACTCAAACTAGTTAGTTCCGCAAGACTATTGCAGGTCCTTCTTTAGGCCTGAAATGTTTTCTAAATTATTAATTAGACATTAATTAACTTATCCAGGCCATAATCAACTCTCGATGGCATCTGATTTCTCCGATATTAAATAGATTAGAACAGTTCAGTCATATTTTGATTTAAGCTTTGAACAACCAGTACGGTGGTTGAAATTATTGCACACGTCTTGTCAAACCTTCAAAGGCTAATATCTTCACTTGCAATAGAGTAATTTGAATGAAATTTTCAAATTATTCATTTTACGTGATCTATTTTCAAACTATTATAGTACGAACGACTAGCTCTTTATCTAAATCTTACATAATGTATCTTTAAACAGTTTATTCATTTAGCGACCGAACTGCACTTACCTGTCCAAAGTTCCAAGGTTTAGCACTTATATTGTTGGCCGTACCACTGTAGATTCTACCTGTATCTTTCAGTATATATTCGCCAAGTTCTATGTCCTTTCCAAAATACACTGTATCATCTGATGAGTAAAAGCCACATGAACATATCGCCGCATATATTTATACCGTTGTCATTCCTATTCGCGTAAATTAGAGGTCTTATAAATACTAAGTGGTCGAGTTATAAATGCATGGCATGAAAAATACATAATCCTATATAAGTATTTCTACCGTTGATGCGATCAATATAGATAGCCTAGGTTATCTATTCCTACCTTTACACAGAGGGTTTTATAGTTTTACCGTTACGCAATACGTTATATATTCTTACCTTTACACCATGGGTTATCTATTCTAATGTTTACACCCTGGGTCATCTATTCTTACCATAACAACTTGGGTTATCTATTCTTACCATAACAACTTGGTTATCTATTCTTACCTTTACACTATGGGTTTTCTATTCTTACCTCTACGCCTTGGGTTATTTATTCTGACATATACGCTTTGGGTTATCTATTCGGCGTCCTGGACTGTCTATTCTGACATTTAAACCATGTGTATCTATACTTACCTTTACCCCTTGGGTTATCTATTCTTACCTATACACCATTGGTTATCTATTCTGAACTTTACACCATTGGTTATCTATTCTGACCTTTATAGACTGGGTTATCTATTCTGACCTTTACACCATGAGTTGTTTATATTCACCTTTACTCCAAGTATTAAACAGAAAATAATTAAGTTGAGTATCCGTACCGTTACACCGAGGGTGTATACGTACCTTTACATCAAGGGTTAAACAGGATATAAATAGGTTCTCTATACGTACCTTTGCACCAAGGGTTAAACAGGATATAAATAGGATCCCTGTGGTTATATCTGTAGATAGTTGTCTTTATATCAGTTTTTGTTACGACATCTATTTTTAGTTTCCATTTAGCTATGTAACAATTTGACGGAGTAAGAATGGAAATGCGCAGAGTGCTTCCATCTTGTTCAACAACATTTGCAGCCCATTGATTTGACAGCTTCTCCGATAGCACTATCTCAACATGGGTCTTTTTACTTTGTATGGGCGCTTTTCCTGAAAACAATGAAGGGTTTTGGTTAAATTATGAAAAATATGACTCCACTGTGGTCACATATACAACATTTTCATTGAGGTTGCTTGAACTGGAATGATATGGGGTTTAACGTCATACAGTTCTGCTCCGACTAGACTAATGAAGACGGGCATACGCCATACAGTGTGTTATGAGGAGAGTTATGCCCGGACAGCGACACTACGGTTTATTCTTATATCAAATTTCAACTGCCATGGGTTCTTTTACGTGCACGTCAATTTGTACACGGAACCTTGGTTGTTTTCTCCCATCCAAAAGACTATACGTTGTCCATTGCCAGACCCACTGACAAGGGAGAACAACGCTGAAAAATCCCAATGAAATTTCTCGGCAACACTGGGATCGAACTCGGGATATCTAAGTTGACGAGCCAACGTATGAATATAATGTTAACATTAAAAACGAACCTGCTTGAAAGACAAGACGAAGATCATCTGTGCTTTTATCATAAGGTCTGTTAAATTTTACAGTGATGTTAAAAGGTTGTCCACGTCGTACAACCAGCTGAGGATTAGGTGTTTCATCTGATTGAGTTATATCAAATTCACTGGTATGATGATGGCGACAGTTTTCTTCAATGTGGAAATTTATTTTCTGTACTGAAAGTATCTCATCTTTATCTGTAAAATAAATATATTTTAGGATTGGGGTGAAGGACATCAGCCTTTCTGATTTTGTTTTTCTTTTTTTTTTAATGAAGGAAACACATGTGTTTACTTACCATTATTACTGAGGGGAACAATGGGTAGAAGTGGCTGGAACGGGGCAAATGGGTCCTCGTCATCCAGCGGCTCATGTCCGTAATATATATAACTAATTGCATCTACTGGTTCGGCATCTGAGGACCGCCAGAAAAACAACCAATCGAAGCTCCATCGGTTCCAAATATCACGAGAATAGTCCATAAAATATCCTAAACCTGTGACAACAGGACTTGCACGGTTAGATCTACCAGGATCATGGATGCCACGACGATATCTCAGTGTGCTTGCCATCTTAACGACCTAAACTTCCTGCTCTATCTGGAAAAAGATATTAGATAAAAATCAATTTCTATGTTTCCTTATTCTGATGTTTCCCGTTAATCTCCAACGGATAGATAAAAGTCATCCTGTGCACTACGGGTAAATTTTGACCAGAAAGCTCTTCTTCTACGGCATACTCTTTTTTCTAATTCTACGTGGGTTCTTTTACGAGCAACTAGATGATGTTCCTTACAGGCACTGCTCCCTGCTCCAATGAGAAGGATAAACTTGCTAGGACGTCCTTCGGGGCTTTTTGGCCAACACCAGGAGCTAAGCTTAGACGGCCATGTTAGCGAGCTAATAACTAGTCACATGACATATCTTTAATATTTTACTATGTAACCTTACATTTAACATGCTTTATGTATTGTATTTGGTATTTATTTTATGATAATTATTGGACCGTTCAAACTCAATGCCATGCACTAAAAAGCATGTCCATTAGAATGTGAAATAAGAGTTTTGCGTAGCGCAACCATCCAGGCACAATTTGCCTGGAGCACACGAATGAATCAGAAAAGTAGGATGATAAACCCCCCATTTCATTTTATTTCATTCCATGTGTCCCGTGAAATCTGGAAGTTCCCCTTAAGTGATAATTAAAGTTATAACTGCCCCAAATTTGTTACCTGTGTATGACTTGATTAAATCAAAATATGCATCTTACCTTTTAAACATATGTCAGAACTACAACCATTTCCTACAAATAAATTGTTACTGGATTACCTGGCGCCTGGAACGTTCGGGCATTTGTATGTGAAAAGAACCATGGTCATCTGGTAGAAAATTACTTTTGTATTTTTTGGAACGGAAAACAGTGTTTTTAGAAGCAAACTAACCTGCCGCACATGAGGAAGTCATTATACTAATAATAAAAGGCGAGACCTCTTTTTGCGGCGCAGGCTTATCACTGAGTAGTAAACCGTCCACAAACAATAATATAAGAAGCCTAGTGACGCGTGTAGTGAGTAGGCTATAGACTATAGGTTTGAGTCGAGATTACTCGCTTTCAGTTTACTCTGTTTTTGCGATAACCAATTATGTGAGAAATACCATACTGACATTCGGTTTTTAAAAGTTGTACGCGAACTAAATGCGTTTGTTAGATACTGACAGAGCAGCCCCGAGTCGAACAATCGCCGCCCGAGCTGTCTTCGTCAGCTAGTTTCACAATATCGTGCAATAGGTGTATTAATGTGATTTTTAGGATTAACCCTGCAAACAATGCCAAAATAGTGTTTTCACTGCTTACAGAAAACTGAAATTTAAAAAAAAATTTTTTTATGAGGGTGACCCTCCCACACACTCCCTATCGAGCTGTCGCTCGGTCTGCGCAGCCTCATGCCTGGCACATACTGTCAACATTGTATATTTTTCCGTTTCCGCCCTTCCGCCCCACAATATATGTTTCACGGCTACGTTGCGACGGTACCAGCATACCCAGTTGTTGACACCCATTACATCACTCCTGTCTAACAAATCATAAAGCTGTGGTGTTACGGTGGCGGCATAGTATTTCACCGTAACACCACAGCCACTCATAATACATCTAACTATCCCTTTACAGCACTTCACTCCCTACACATTTCCCCTCGTCCGACTTTCCCAAACGTCAACAACACATCTCATACATCCAGTTCGCTGATTAACCCTTGTACCACGTCTACTGGATCCAATAAGGTTTATATACTCCTAACCTTTTACCATAACACAACCATAAATGGTCATAGATCAACAGTTATAAACTGTTTAAAAAATGTAATACAAGCAGGCCACACGATCTATTCAGATTGTGCGATGAGGCGGGTACACATTTATTTATGATATACAAATCTTATAAGTACGTGACCCGTTATCGAACCCTCAACATAACTCAAGTCTTACCTTATGAATGGGTCAATAAAGTAATTCTGTATCGATACATATATTAATTTTAAATGAAATAAATCAATACAGTGATTGCCGGAAAAGATGCATATTTTAACAAATGTAGATCCCCATTGCTCAGACAGGGTTTGCGAGCGCGACATCCGGGCCCTGGGACAAACAATTCGGCTTCTCCCCCGGACTCGAAAGGGCTTTTTTAATGATCGGATACCAGTCAGCCTACCTAGGGCGATCAATATAGCGTTCTACAGTCCAAGACTAGGTCCGGATACCCTGATGATGACGATAGCCTCAAACGGAACGAGGATGGACCGGGACTCCATGGCGCTAAGGCACGAGAAGGTAGCTTATAGTTTTTAATTTACCAATTTTTCCAAAAAGTTGAACTGACAGAATACGATTCTAATCTTACCCAAGTAACATTCAGAAAAAGTCACCGGATTCTTCTACTTTACGATTAAATAACAGTGTATTTTCTATTACATAATACCAACAATTTAAAAAAAAAATTAAAAAAAACACTCCGGGTCCCTCTAGGCCCAGGGCCCCTGGACACCAGCCGACCCCCCCCCCCCCCATCACGGGTCCTGAGCTCAGCTATTAAAAGTGTATGGCCTTGGACCTCCTCATAGATAAACAATAAGCTTGAACTTTGCATCACAGCCATTCGCCCACTTCTTTTTACAATAATAACAGAATCTGGTATTTGGATATTGTATTACAAGGATCTGGAATAATAATTTTTTTAAGCGTGATTATCTTTTTATGTATATTTTTCAAGTCTGAAGCTGTAAATAATACCTCTCTATTTCAACTTTGATCCAGGATGTTCTCGCCTTGCACATACGAAACTCTTATGTGTTGTAACACAAAAACGACCATATCACATTCCATGCAGAACAGAGAACATAATATTTCGTGATGCCCACGCTCTAATCTAAAAATACGGAATGAAATGAATAGATATTATAGGGGCCATGTATATATATGGGGGGGGATCTATTCAAAAGGCGTGCAGTTGATCCCTCTGATCAATAAAGTCAGGTATACGGGGTCTCAGACTAGTAATTTTAGTTCGTATTTTTATAGCAATTCTGTCTTTTAAAAACAATTGTTTTTGACCTGTTAGATTAGAATTGAATAAATGTGTATCAATGTACACTTTCGCCGGGGTTAGGTTGATATTTAAATATCAATGAAAAATGACGCGGAAAAGATCGGTAAGTAAGCAGACATGAATTAGTGAAATCACACCTAAAATGATGAAACAGCCTATATATTCCATTGGCCAGCCAAAGAAGAAAAGTGAGACTGCCCGGCACCTTCAACATTTGTATCAGGCGACTTTGACCAAGCGTAAAGATTAAAGTCATCGGATTGTTCAAGAAAATGCGAGCCGCGCTGGCTCAGTAAGCAAGATGCTGGCTCACTAATTAGGTCTCGGGTTCGCTCCCGGTGTTGGCCGAGAAAGTTCCTCGGGATTTTCAGGCGAGGTTTCCCCCATCACCAGTGGCGAAGAACGGAGGGTCTGACAAGGGACTGTGTCTAATCTTTCGGATGGGACTTAAAAGCCAAGATCCCATTGGCGTGTACGTGAAAAAACGCTGGACAGTTGGAATTCGAAATAAGAGCAGACCGTACTGCCGCTGGCCAGGCAAAATTTCCCTCACAGCCCACTGTATGATGTACACCCGTGTTCATTAATTAATCCCATTTGGTTCAGAAGAGTATGACGCTACACCCAATTTCATTTTATTTCATGTTCAAGAATATGATGTGAATGGAGACATTTCATGGGTTCAACATTGCAGTTAATGAGAAATAATTTCTAGTCTAGTCTGAATAAGGAGGCATTGTCTCCCTTGTAGGCTTAAACATAGACTACAAAGACGGTCTGAAAGGGAGAAACAGTACACTGAAAAAACCCTTGTGTTGGATCTCAACACAAGAACTTGTGTTTAAAATATTTAACACATGTTTGTGTTAAGACATTGAAAAAAACACAAACTTGTGTACATTTATAACATCTTATGTGGTTTTTTTCCATATAATTAATTACGTCGACATTAAAGATAACATTTATTATGTTCCTTTATCACTAGCCTATATGTAAAACCACTCTTCCTGAATTTGAATGTCGAGTAATTCACTTGATTTGTTTTTTAATATTTCTAATTATCTAAAAGGATATATTAATTATTACAAACATTAAGTAGAAATCGCAATGTATGTATCGTGCGATGCATTTAATATCTCTTTTAAAACAACGTATTTTATAACAGTATACTGATATAAGAGATCAAAGTTTTAGTCAATTATTATCTAAATATAAACTATTTATTTAATTAGATATAATAAAAGATTGTTCTGATTCTACTCTTTGTATATTTTCACATCTTGTCTCAGACAATATACAGAGACAGGTTATTACAATGTCTGCATTTGGAAGTGTCTGATTGATATCGCCCCAATAAACTTGACACATCAAAGACAATAACAATTGTGTTATATCTACGTTTTAAAAAAATGTTTGAATGGGCGTGGAAATAGTCGAGTTAATCTTTTTATTTAATTTAATTGGTTCATTAATCGAAATTGGAAATTTATTCTTACCTGTAAATGACCAATTAAAATGAATTACTCTTAAAACAAAGAAAGAAATATTTATTGAAGTAATTTTGTGGTATTAAACCCTGTGGTACTGCAAATGTTAACTGTATTATTAAGCATTAGTATCGAAAAAAGTGATATTGTTGTGAAAAAAATTTGTTCAGAAAATAAGAATATCAGGTTTGTGATTTTGGTATTTTTTAATACAATGTATTTATAACGCAAATTTTTCGTTTCGGTTAAAACAAAATATACCTACATTTTAATTGGCCGAAGGATGTGTGACTAATAGAAATATGGCGGGCGGACAAACTGACCAAACAGTATATTTCGAGGTATTTGAGGTAAGCTAATTTAATATTATATCATAACTGCATGTGCATAATTGTGTTTCTGTTTGATTAAATATTCAAAAAATCATTCTTAGGATACAACCTCGACACCAGTCCGCCCTGAATTGCAATGTTTGTTTTGTGTTCTGGGCGCCATTTTGAATATAATACAATCCAGCGATAGTGTAGTATAATTCCTTTAAAAGGGAATCCTAATTTGTTAATTTTCTGCAATACCACTTCGGTGGAAGCGGACGTTAAATAAAGCTATTTCACGTACAAAGACCTACAATAAAATCCAGGTGAATTGGGAAAAATATTCATGTATTTTCTTGATGAAGAGTAGCTATTTCAATTTGTAAATGCCCAGTCATCTTAGACAAATAATAATTCCAACTTCAAATCAGTTGTATTTATTCAAATCATACCATGAAGAATTGTATTTTTCCACTTGCATAATAATAAAAACTTGACTTTTATTATTTTATTTCTTCAGGCCAAGAGCATGGAAAATTGGTAATTGCCTTGTATCACTGCTAACTATAAATCACAGGGAGCCTTGGGCAGAAATGATAATATGGTTCTTAGATATGTTACTGTGTACAGACTGAACAGAAAATATTTATACACTTGCTATTACAGTACTGGCAAAATTAATAGCAATTTTTTCTAAAAACGTTGCAGAAGTAACTCACTAAAATTGAAGTATGAATAAAATCATACACCGTGAATATATTGAACTGAATATTCTTACACATAACCATAGGCGTACGGGGAAATTTTTGACTGGGGGCGGTGGTGGTTGGTGCCCCAAAAATGTAGTTAGGTTCTTAATATGTTACATAATAATAATAAATTCGCTGTTAAATTGGACACATTCAAGAACACAATATTTTTTTATACAACTTTTACAAAGTACAATTGTGTGCCCAAATTTTCCCAGCCCCCCCCCCCCAGCTCGTACGCCTATGCACATAACCATATTGACATCTACTTCACATTGCATGGTTGGTCGACGCAACGCCGTGTATAGATAAAGTTGCGACAACTGTGAAGCCAGGAATTTCATATGACGTCATGCAAACTTATTATCTATTTATATGACCTATTTTATTGTTGGATGTCATAGATTTCAGCGAATAAGTGTATATAGGACATAAAACATACATTTTTTAAACAAAAAGTATAGCTGAACATACTATTATTAGTATTATACAACAAGAAGCGCACATTATTGTTATATAGCCTTATTCTATAAGAAAAATCAAAATAAAAGATACACTAGATAAAAGTACTATTAAACCAGGGGCGGATCTAGGAATTTTGAAAAGGGGGGGCGCTGCAAAATGAAGGCATTGACCGCGGAGACGGGGCTTGCCGCTGAGGGGGGGGGGGGGTCCCCAAGAAAATTATCCGTCATTTCCTTGCATCTGTAGCCATTCCAAGAGCTATTTCCCAGACTGGTGTGTTTGAGTCGATGGTTCGAGTCATTTGGGATCCCTACAACGGGTTGGGAACGGACATATTTGAGTCTGAGAAACGGCACTTTCAGCCGTAAAAAAGGGCACTGTTGAAAATTAGGGGGGGGGCGCCCCTCGCGCCCCCCATTGAATCCGCCTCTGATTAAACATATTTAACTTGCATTCGCTTTTAAAGGAGCTAAATCGCTAATATTTGGGAACTAGAAATTGTCACAAATGGGTCGCACTAACCTTGATGTTGACAAATTCGTAAGACGATATGAACATCAAGGTGATATATGCATATATGCAGCATAGATAATTAAAACTTCTATTCAAGTTAAACCAACTGTATCTATTTATGTCTTACGTCGAGCTGAATACATTTTATGATTTATTGTCATTAAAACATCTATTGGTGGTTAACAGTGTGTAACTAAAAACTAAAATTGGATCTTATTATCACGAAGTCTATCGCATCCAGATAGTTAAAGCGCGTTTACAATATATTCATTTTTTTGTATCGTAAAATTCATCTTCATTTGACGAACTACACCCAAACTACAGTCAGTGTAAACACGGTTTGGAGACTGTATCTGAACTACAGGGTACATCGAACTACAGTGTACATCATGCTTAAGAGACACTATCTAATATCCAACAGGAAAAATGACGATTAATTTAATATCCGCCAATTGATGTTGCTGCTATTTTGTATTTTCAAAATTTATCTTCAAATTCAGCGACATCGAAAACCATATAAAGGACATTGCAAAAGTCATATCTTACGTATCTTAAGAGATGACCTTTTAGTCTACCAAATTTATGGTATTTTTGTTAAATTGCCTTATACATGTATTACCAAATTCGGTAGCCCTTTTAAAAGAAATGCCCGGCACCACATGGAAAATACATTTCTTTAATTGATGTTTGTCAAATTCGATTTCCGCACATTTCGCGTACATAACCACGATATAATGGTCGAACATTACGTACATCAGATAAACTATTTTTAAAGCCCAAAACTGTTCAACTAGTCTCTTTTAGTTATCAAGCACCTGTTTTATGGGATAATCTACCATTTAGTTTAAGATGTTGTACATCTCTATATTCTTTTAAAAAACAACTTAAATCACATTTATTTAATGAGGCTTTTAACTGACTCTGTATACAATTGTTAACATGTCCATAATCTTGTTGTTTATTTATGATTACATTGTCACTTAACATTGTTTTATGAAAGGGCGCGCTATAAATATGCTGTAATAATAATAATAATAATAATAATAATAATATTACCAAATTTGGCGGCCATTATGAAAGAAACGCCCGGCACCATATAACAAATACTTCTTTTTTTTAATTTGACGTTTGTCAAATTCGATTTTTCGGCACATTTCGCTTTCATAACCACTCTGTGTATGAGGAATTTAAAAAGAAATCATTTACAATCCAACGAGTAAATAGTAAAACACACTGATTACGAGATATCGCTCTCAGAAAATTCCCCGATTTTGGGTATGATTTTGTTTGATATATTTATCACTGAACCAAACTGCATTGGTTTCTTTTGCGTTTTTTTTTTAGGGTAAAACGTTATATTATCCCTAAACGTCTAATACTGCAAGAAAAAAACAAATTTTGGTATGTAAACCTGTATGAAGCCATGAGGTCATAACTTTTATGGCGTCATAATTGGGACCCAAAATGGCGCCTGGAAATGAGTTGTCGTAACTTTCCCACAGTCTACTCACTCATGTGCTCATCGTTGTATACGAACTAACGTTGAAAAAATCAATTTACGTCGATTTTTGAACATTTTAAAAGCCGTAGTTCGATTCGGCGCCCAAGAAAAGATATACATATACACCAAAAACATGGCAATCAATCAAGTTGAAGCGTTTTGGCGTAAAACATCTGTTTAGGCGAGATGACGTGTTTTTGGTGTACATGAGTAAGCAATAATGCTACCTGACTAAAATACCCCCCCCCCCGCCTTTTGCATTCGCATGTAGTCATACATATGAGTCTCAAAATAATTTAATATATTGTTAAATTATGCTCTTTTCAACTCCCCCGCCCCCGCCGCCGCCCCCTGCTAAATGAGTTATTTTACTTTTATTCTGCCATCTAAATAACTCTATACCCATGACTGGTGTACCAAGTTAAATCCACATCAAAACATCAAAACCCCATTTGTCGATAAGTGTATTTATAATAATCACTTGAACATCCTTGGAGAATTATATCTATTTAGTGAATATTAATACCAAAGAAAGAAAACAACTCTAAATTCTGAATATAAAGTCATCAAATTCTTTTACAGATCTTATTGTGGAAACCCAAAAGTTATATTGCCTTTTTAATCACATTTTTGTTTTTAATGTCAAATACCAAACCATCTCTAATATTGTTTCATTATATAGAATGCAGTGTAATCCTAAACACTAAAGATTTGGCCTGAAAACTTGAAATAATATAGAGGGATCATCAATAATTAATAGTAACATTCGATAATTATAAAAATGTATTATTGTAGGATGAAATCAACCTTTATTTTTAAACATTTAGTGAACATTTCGGATGTTAATGCCTCTTTTATATAAAATGGTTTTATTAATTAATCAATTTTTGTTTTACAAATTTTTAATTTTCTCCATTTTGTTTGATTTTTATGCTATATTTATTTTATCTATCTATAATTATTTGCCTGTGCTTTATCTATTAGTTCCCATTTATATACTGTAGAAAATTTTGAATTCCTAATCTGTTAAAGGGACTATTTTTTCTTAAAAGTATTTCAATTTAGTGCATCATTAATGTCTTTAGTGCTTGGTTTAGTTGATATTAAATTTAGATATATTTAAAATGTATGTTTTGGGACCATGGGGTAGGGATATTGTGAACATATATATACTATTCAAAAAAAGTAGGGGATATTTGATTTTTAAGTGTTATTAAAGTCACCTAATGAAACTGACGAAGAAACAAATGACAAAATGAAATGAAGTTCACATTCATCGATTTATTCCAAATGATCGTTAGACTAAGTAAGGCACAGACTGACCATTATAAGGGTAAAATGATACCCGGGGTCAAACAGCAAAGTTACCACAGCATCACAACCAAGTCAGTAACGGGTAAATCCTCCTCTGTTTGCCAAACAAGCATTGATCCGACGTGGCATACTCCTAATGAGACGTCTAAGGTCATTTTGGTCCAGATTGTCCCATTCCTGTTGCAACGCAGCAGCAAGTTCTTGGACATTGGCAGGACGTTGTTGACGTTGACGTAACCTCTGTCCAAGCATGTCCCAGACATGCTCGATCGGGGAGAGGTCGGGACTCAGTGCTGGCCAAGGTAATGTGGTGATGTTCTGTTGTTGGAGGTAACCTGTAACGATCCTGGCCCTGTGACATCTTGCGTTGTCATCCTGGAAGATGAAACGGCGGCCATGACGTCGTGCGAACGGCACAACATGGACTGCCAAGATGTTGTCCCGGTAGTACTGGCCTGTAACACGCCCTGCAACAACATGTAAAGCCGTTCGTCCAGCAACAGTGATGCCTCCCCACACCATAACAGAACCACCCCCAAATCGATCATGTCTGATGACGTTAACGTCTTGGAAGCGCTCGTTTCGACGACGCCACACCCTCCTACGTCTGTCCAAAAAATCAACAGTGAACCTTGACTCATCTGAAAACATCACATTGTTCCAGCGTCGATTATCCCAGTGTTGACGATCCCTACACCAACGACGTCTTGCCTGAATGTGATGATCTCTCAAACAAGGGATCACGCGAGGACGTCGGGCGTGAAGGTGACCCATATGCAGTCGATTCCGAATCGTCTGGCCACTCACTCTCACACCAGTGTCTGTTTGAAGACGAGCGCTGATCTGATTTGCTGTGATGACACGATTTCTCAAGGCCAAGGTACGGATAAATCGATCCTGGGCTTGAGTTGTCGCCCTTGGTCGACCTGAGCGTGGTCTGTCCTGTACAGATTGTGTATCACGGTATCTGGACCATAGCCTGCTTATGACAGACTGAGAAACATTCATCGTCCGCGCCACAACCGCCTGTGTTGTGCCGATCTGTAGCATGCCAAGGGCACGTAACCTTTCATTTTGGATAAGCCGACGCATATCAAAATTTGTTTTCTGGTCACTAAAACAATTAAACTGATGTTTCCACCCTGGAATTCAATGCCACAATGACTGTAACATTCAAAGTCAGAGTCGTGCAAATCTTGGGTTGGACCCCCATGATGATCCCAAGCATCACCTGCATTCCATGCGGTTGCTATTGGTGCGTTTGGGCGTCACATGTAACTGGAAATGTTTCTTCTGTTAGGTTCTATAGTGACTTTTTTCGTAGTCATTTGCATATTTTAGTATTATGCCCCCAAAATCAAATATCCCCTACTTTTTTTGAATAGTATATTATATTCTCAGTTCTTTTTAAGGTTAATTGTAAAAAAAAATTAAATAGCTTTTTTGAGGGGTGGGGGGATATTGTTACTATTGAACACAATTTTATTAGTATTGAAATTAACTTTGTTGATTAATATTCCAAATGTCTCGGTGCTTTATTTTTCAATTTAAATAGCTACTTTTTATTTAATAATTGGGAATGGGGGGGGGGGGGAATTTTTCATTGTATAACACAATTTTATTAGTATTGGAATTAACTTTGTTTATTAACCTTCGAGATGTCTGTATTGGTATTAATTAGGCATTAATTTATTTTTTCATATCATTTATTGAATAAATAATAATTTAACAAACAAAATTATTATGTCATTTATCAATAATTACAGTTTAAACAGAACGAATGGAAGGGGTTGCATTCGAAAGGTTGCTATACTGGATATAAATTGGTAAAATACAACACACGTTTTTGTTATACACAAGTTTGTACGAAACAACACGAGTTTCAGAAATTTCAACACAAGTTTCAGAAATTTCAACACAAACAAGTTTCAGAAATTTCAACACAAATAATGTGTAGATTTTCACACAAGTTTTGTGTTGTTTCAACATTTAACACAAGTTTTGTGTTGTTTCAACATTTAACACAAGTTTTGTGTTGTTTCAACATTTAACACAAGATTGTGTTGTTAAATAGAGACACCTAACTTGTGTTGAAAATAACACAAGTTTGTGTTGTTTCAACACAAGTTTTTTTTCAGTGTATAAAAAAAAGAAATCGACATGAATATTCACGATTTTGACTTTGACACGTATACAACAATTAATATTAAAGTCAGACGACCGCTTTAGTTCTATTCAATGAGGAACCACTCCTTGTCTCGCACACACAATAGATAGACCCCATGATACGTAAGCGTAATAAGCCACTCAGCCCCCTTTTAATCTATTTAATGTGGGGTCATTCCTTGCCTCGCCCACACAAGGGATAGGCCTCATGATGGGCATGTGTACTAGGTCACACAATCCCATTTTAATGTTTTTACTTTTAATTCATGGGTACAAATAGAGCCGGATCTGTTAAAGATGCCTTCCCACGTACAAACTGGGAGATTTGATGATATATTTGGACTAAAAAGATATTCAAACTAATTTACCTCTCTCAAAACATTGCATTCGCGAGGAAATACCCCACGATGTAAGAAAATCTACTTTTAGAAGCCATGTTTGTCATGTAACTTGATTAAGGGAAGGGACCATTTTCAGAATGTATTTGCCATTACTTACTGTCCATTTGCCATACGTATGGGGCCTTTTACGTCTTCTACAATACCGATTCGACATCATTAGCAATTATGGTCTTCAAATGTATGCTGATGACACTCAACTGTATATTGAAATTGATTCCGGTGATTATAACCTTGCATCTAACCTAGAATCCTGTATCCGAGAATAAATCCGTGGATGAAACAAAACAGAAAGCACATTCATCAAAAGAAATCACGAAAATGAAAAGAATTCAATTTTAGTTGGTGGTGCTGCAGTTCGGGTTACATATGTAGTTAGAAAGCTTGGCGTTAATTTGAACTGCAATCTAAATATGAAGCACCATGTGTCAGACGTGTGCAGGAAGGTAAATTTTTCATCTGCACAAATCAACTACCAAAGTATTGATAAATACGCTTGTAACATCTACTCTTGATTACTTCAATTCATTGTTATACACTTTACCAGACTGTCATATCAATCAACTACAGAAAAAAAACCCAGAACAAAGCGGCAAGGATGGTCTGACGAGTGAAAGTTTCGCAACATATATTTCCAATCCTATCAGAGTTACACTGGCTACCTCTTACAACCCTTCTCAAAAGCTCAGATCGTTAACGCAAAATAAATAAATCTGCCCCACGACCAGAACTCGTTTTGGTGAACGAACGTTTAAGTACGCCTCTCCTTGTGAACAGAACAAACTGTCTTATGATGTAAAAGAAAGTGCTAATATCTCAGTTTTTAAATCTAGATTAAACATTTCATGAAACTAGCATATCGTTTGTAACTTACAATTAGTGTATACTTTTATAAAGATTCTGTGATAATTTTATCTCTATATTAATTTTTAATTTTTTGTAACCTGATTTTACCAAAAGTACATTTATAAGCACATAATAGTTTGGTGGTTGTTTTGTCTAGACAGTTTCTGATTTTACCAATAGAAATTTACCTTCCTGCACACTTCTGACACATGATGCTGCTTCATATTTGTAACTTTTATATGGATACACACTCACACACACACACACCACACGCCCTTTCCCCACTGTTAAAGACCTCTACGGGCAAGCGAATTAATGAAATAAAAATGACCCCTCTCTTTCTTTTTGTACTTATACTTTGCAGAAAGAAACACTCTGTAGCATTCTTAGAGATCAAAAGTCACCATTAAATATCAGCATTGTTCTGAACTTCCCTGTACAAATGGGGGTAGGCTTTGTGCTTACTCTTTGCAGAAAGAAATATTCGGTGCCATTTCTTGTGGCTGAAAGGTCACGATTCGTCACGATCTTTCATAACATATAATCACATAATCCGGATAAACAGCTAGGATAAAACTCGAGAAACACGCAAATGTTTGTAACAGATATAAAAACCAGCAATTCGGGTTTCATAAGAATGTTAAACATCATAACATAAAAAAATCATAACCGGTATTTTACTCTTTTTTATAGTAAAAAAAAATACACCATATAATCATAGATAGATATATATAACTCTATAAGGCATAAATCTGCAAACCGGTTTTAAGATATTATAATGCCTATTGTACAACAGGGTCTATAGATCTAGTTTATAGGGGCTAACTAACACGTATATATGGTTAACAATTTTATCGCTGATATCAGTCTACTTTAGGAGCGTGTCGCGTCGATAAGCTGTTAACTTTTGTCAGGTAAGCGCTTTAAGTTAAACTCTGTTAAATCATAATGATAGGTATTTAGACGATTATTGTGATGCACAGTCCGTTTAATATTTTATCAAAGTGCTTTATGTATATTTATATTCTTTTTTTCCATTTTTGCAAAACAAAGGAGCCATGTTAGCTAGGTTAGCACGGCGTTGAATCGAGAAAGTTCCCAGGATTTGTCAGCGTGTGCCCGCTTTGGCGTGCACGTAAAAGAACCCTTCACAGTTGGAATTTGAAAGCTAGTTGACTCAATAACAGACCATTCGTTAGACCATTGCCCCGCCTAACCAAACAAACTTACAGAAAAGGAGTATTTCACAAACATTGTATTGTCCTATAAAGTTAGGCATTACTACTGTTAGTAAATTGAAAGACATATTTTAAACATATTCAATTTACAGAAATGAAACTATATACCAAGTCCAAGTTAGAAATTTTTGATAGTTATTGATGATAGGGTTTAAAATATAATAAGCCTTTGGAAATATATATAGAAGTAGATATGACTACAAAGTTTAGTCATAGGTCTTCAGGATATACTGAGTACAAGAATGAAGCTCTGTAAACGATACGACCCGTAGTCTGCCGATTGGGTCTCGTTACGGCAGTCGACGTCATTAAGTTAGTGCGTCAAAAACAAAATAGCAACATAAATCGGACTGGAATTTTAAGGCAAAAGGAATGAAATGAAGTAGGGTTTAACGTCATACAGTTCTGCTCTGTCCGGGATAATAAAAACGGGCATACGCCATGTCGTGTGAAATGGCGTTACTGCCTACTCTTATTCAAATTCTAACCGTCAATGGTTCTTATACATGCATGCCACTATGTCCCCTGCCAGAACCTCCGACCAGAACCACTGACAAGGGGAAACCATGCCGGAATAGCCGATGAACTTTCTCGGCCAAAACCAGGATCGAACACGGGGAATTCCAGGTTATAATTATAATTGTTATAATTAACAATATGCAAGAGAAAAAAGATAGGTGAAGAATATTGTATTAATTAATTATCAAAGCATAAAATATAATCACGTATACATGTACTTGTAATAAGAGAAATATAGCAATGTAGGCTGCTCCACCCTTAGTAGTCTATTTAAAATAGATAGCGAATATTGTGACGATCATGGAGTACAAGCAATATGTATGTGTCTTTTCAATTTACAAATAGCACCTTTACAAGGTTATCACATGTATGCATATTTTTTGATAAAAGACAGTATTATATAACTGCCTCGTCTACCGCGGAGTTATGTAATGAATAGATATAATAGTTGTATATTGAGCACAGATTCTATTAAATAAATCTCTATTCGCTACCATACATATATTAATATACAATAAATGTTCACGTGTTTGGTTTATTACTTTTGCATACATTCCTAGTACTTAGTAACGCGTCGTAATCAAAACCTGTGTTTTATAAGATCGTGAAATAATTGAAACTGTCTTACAAACAGTACATGTAAATAAGTAAATCTACAAGAAGTCATAAAAACAAGACCATGGAATAGTCAGTGTTTACCCATGTGCAATTTTATTACCTTGGTATTCAATGATAAAGTAGTGTACATCAAATCTAACTTAAAATTTATCTTTTTATTATAAATAGGTATGTGCTATAAAGTTATGTGTTATATTTCCGCCGTGGTTTCCGCTTGGCAGTGGTGTAGCACGGGTGCTATTAAGGAACAGTGTGTTGTCCCGTGTACATATGGGCATGCACATTAGACACTTTGACAGATGGAATTCGAAATAAGAGTAATCTAGCTCGTAGTGCCGTGGTCCTGGCAAAATTTCTCTCGTTAGCCCGTTTGAAGCAGAAAAGTTGGATGTTAAACCCAATTTGATTTCGTTTGCGACTGGAATCAGTCGTTTATGGCCGCAACTTGACAACGCTCGCTTAAGACCACGATGTTCTAGATGTAATCAAACTTGTTAGTAATCTTTTCATAGGATTGGTACCCTGTTAAAATGGGATGGGTAGAGCCACGGTGGCTCAGTGACTAAGACGTTGGCTCGCTAACCTGAAGGTCCCATGTTCGATCCCTGCGTTGGCCGAGAAAGTTCATCGGGTTTTCCGGCGTGGTCCCCCCTTGTCAGTGGTGTAGGACAGAGGGCCTGTCAAGAGACAACGTACAGTCGTTCAGATAGTACTAAAAACCGTGCACGTTAAAGATCCCTTGCCAGTTGGAATTCGATAAAAGAGTAGGCCGTAGCGCCGCTGTCAAGGCAAAATGTCCCCCATAGCACACTGTAATTACAATATAGTTGTATAAAATGAATATAACATTTGACCTAAAGAAAGACCTGGCCCTTGATTAATGTATATTTAATAAGAGCCCACTGGCGTATATTAAGGTAAATTTGTATCATATTTTGGTTCGTTTTGTTTTCCTTCGTTTTTAACTTTACACAGTTATATACGGGGAAGTCAATGAGTTCATAGAAGTGAGTATTGATACACACCTGAAGACATCATCGATGATGTCATTATTGAGATAGGCCATCTGACGACAGTTTACAGACATAAACAACTCTTCCCGGTCATTTACTTGAGATTTACAGTCTGTTGAACACAGGTACCCTCCTGTAATCATGGAAGGTTTTAAAACTGAGCATCGTGCGGTTATAAAGTTTCTCACGAAAGAAGGGGTGAATGCGACCGAAATACATAAACGTATGACCAATGTCTATAGGAAGGAAGCCCCTCAATATTCTACTGTTGCAAAATGGTCAGCTGAGTTTAAGCGGGGTCGCAGCTCCTTGGACGATGACCCACGGTAAGGAAGGCCTGTTGAAGCCATTACAGATGATATGGTTGCACGGATCGAAGGCTTAATCATGTCCGATCGTACAATAAAGGTGGACGAGATATCTTCAGAGTGTGGCATTTCTCATGGAAGTGTTTTCACCATAATTCATGAGTACTTGCACTTGTCCAAGGTGTCTGCAAGATGGGTGCCACGAAACTTAAATGCACAAGATCGGCACTAGAGAGTTGAATCCAGTCGTGAGCTCTTGGACATCTACAATGCTGATCCCGATAACTTATATGCCCGTCTGGTTACAGGGGATGAAACGTGGATTCATCACTGGGATCCTGACACCAAGCAAGAATCCATGCAATGAAAGCATAAGCACTCTCCTGTACCCAAGAAGTTCAGAACTCAGTCTTCTGCTGACAAGATCATTTCGACCATTTTCTGGAATTCAAGGGGCGTGATACTTATAGACTATAAACCACCTAAAACTACAATAACAGGAGCTTACTATGCTGACTTGTTGAAGCAATTGAGAGCGGCGATCAAGAGCGGCATGTTGACTGCTTCTTCATGACAGCATAGTAGGCTCCTGTTATTGTCCCAGTCTATCAATACTAATCAGTAAAAGTAGTGTAAACCCCATTGCATTCCATTTCATTTCATTTCATTTCATTTCACACATAGAGAGATTAGTATTAAGTCAAGCTATTTCATACATCGGTAAGGAATGTCAACAAGCACGTATTTTCATAAGATTATAAACCAGTTGAATTAATACTGTCATACAAAATCAAGCATGATTCTACTTCAATAGGTTTAACATTATCATATTACAACCATTTTTATAACTTTTGTATAGGAGTCTTTGTGCGTACCGTTGCACACATGCTGGGTACTTACTATTAAATGCTATTGTAGTCAAGGTTTTCAGAACAGAGGTCGTTTGTTGAAGTTTCAAGATCATGGGACGTGAACCTCCATATTGATGTGTCTGGCTTGAAAGAAGTTTTCATTAGTTATTCCAACTTCTTCTGTCCCCCTTTTGCTTTCTCTAACCATTTAGTACCATGTACAAGACAGGGTATGCTTTAGCTTTAGAACACTTAAAACAACTCCTCGTGAAACCAAGAAGTTGACAATACATGGACAACGTGGGTTTTTTTTTTTGGGGGGGGGGTGATTATTTTTAAAATTATGTTTAGTCGTGTCTGTTTACGAAACCATTGTATGCGCAGGCATGCGTGGAAGTTATATTGAGACGGAAGGAAAAATTCCATCGATTTTGTAATTTGAAACAATATAGTCACCCAAAAATCATCAAAACACAAACGACCCCTCCCCCCGCCCCTTTAATCAGGTACATGATCAACTACATTACAAAACTGAGTATTTTCATAGTTTAATTTATAACAAAATTCGACGTTATCTAGACCACGTTTTCTTTTAAACCAGACAATATGGAGTGATTTCAAAATGTGTCCTAACTCTTGTCTACTACGCGTACAATGCAGTTAATCTGAAAAGGGGGCAGATCCTGACATGCTTTACCTTGAAACGGGATTTCCGTGCTGACCTTGTCAATTATCAGAATCATCGCCAGTAATTCCTACGCTAGTGCCACATTTAGGTTTAGTCTTCCTCTCCCATTCCCTTTATCCCCCTTTTGCTTGGCGATTTTTTGTTGACTTTCTGTTGTAGAATCCACGAAAAGGGTTTGAGTATACATCTTCTGGCATTTCTGGTGGATATTCAAGAATTCAAGAATTGAGGCGGGCGGGTTCCAGGTCGGTTACGATGAAATGTTGTGGGTGGGTGGGTGGGGGGTGCGGGTACAACTGCGTGTTCACTTGTATGATAATTTATGTTTGTGTATCTCAAGTTTTCCATGGTGAAACTCATAGCTGGAGAAATTATTGGTGATCTGTGGCCAAATGGATGGAATTTCATTTCTACTGTGTTTCAGGAACTTCTAAAATATGTCATAGTTTAGGGCATGGAATCTTATATTTCAAGTTCTAAGTAGACGTTTACTTATTTAATATATCAGTTTCTGCTGTCATTTATAATTATTAATGATACTTCACAAGAAAGCATGTAATAAAGCCTTTCATTTTATGTCACGATTTCTTTTCTGAAAAACTGAATGGCATAATCCTATTACGTGATACATTAATGATATCTAAAAGGCATACATAGCGAACCTTGCGGAACCCCTTGGGCGATGAACTATTTTGATTTAAAGAGGAAAAGTTGTAACATCAATAGTCATTGTCACTTTTTACAAATATTAGTATTTTACAACTTAGAAGGTTATAAGACCTTTTCTTTTATTAATGCCATTTGTCATGCTTTATTTCTGTAAAATTAAATGAATTAACCTTTTAAGCGATACATTATTGGTATCTTTAAAGACATAGATAGCGAACCTTGCGGAGCCCCTTGGGCGATGTCCTATATTGTTTTGAAGATTTGAAGAGGTGAAGTTACCTAAAAAGAACTTTAACATCAATGGCCATTGTCCCCTTTTCTACAAATATCAGTATTTCACAATTTTTTTATTCTTGTCAATGTTTACTGTAGCGTGATGTAAGTTGTAACACTGTATAATAGATATAGGTGTACTTTAAAATATTCAGTGGACTTATTGATGCATTAAAAAGATTTATCATGAAAATAGCCAACCGTGTATTAATGACTTATATTTAAAAGGAAATTTACATGATGGGGAGATATACATATCAATAGAGAAATATCTTAATGTCACCAAGTTCGGCAATTTCCTTTTTCATATTTATCTGTTAAAAGTAACATTGTACCATAAAAGGTCAATGTTCTTTGATAATAATATTTAGAATATAGAATATATTTATTAGATTTGGGTAGGTAATCGTTTTTTCGCTATGTGAAGCGTGAAATATGTATGATAAATGTGTTTAATATATCGTAACATATTCTATAAAAACATTAATATAATGGCAGGAGGTATAATAGTTTGTGCTTGAGTACATTAGTTCTCAGAATATTAATTTATTTGAGTAAAAGTTATTTGAGCCTGGCCCTTTTACGATAATAATCTGTACCTGATATGAAACACGTTTGTTTCCTCAAAATATTCTCTTTCAATTCTTATGAGTAGATCAAAGAGTTGGTTTGAATAAAAACACGCACAAACAAGTCAGGAAACTAAATATTATTTAAAACGCTTTCCTTGGGTAATAACAAAACGAAAACAGCACAGACATTTTTGTTGCAGGCGCATATCCAGGAGGGTGGGGCAGGGGGCCTGAACCCTTCCCTGATTGGGCAGAGCATATTTGTTTCTACACTCGAAGAGACTAACGTGCGACGCATTGCCGCCGTGTTGACCTCAATTAACTCTAGTCATATACATGAATGCACCTAAATGAACAGAAATATTGTCTGAGAGCTTCGCATTGATGTTATCCCCACTTCTTCCCCCCCCCCTCTCCCAATTTTCGCTCAGATTTATATGCATAAAATATTGATATATATTTTTTTAAATTTATTTTAATGTGGTATTTGTTTTTGTTCGTTGTATGCTGCTGGTTTGTGCCAATTAGCTTATGATTCCTCCATGGAGATAAATAAATTTTCTCGATTTTTTTCGGAGATTTTTTATTAGGAAAACTCCTGTAAATGTTGTGACAGTGTACAGAACCTGGACATCCACTTTTAAAATCGGTGATCGTAATTTTTCGTCCATGTCACACTACAAATGGCTACTGCGGCGATCGAATTTTCAAAATTGTCTGTTCGGCAATTGCTTGACTTTTGTCAACTCAGTATTTTGTCTAAGTGTGTCGAATTTAAAGAGTATTGGTATGATATTCTTAAGCTTTATTGATGAATACGTTCCACTGTTGAGTGTCATTGTTTGGGCTAGTAACTCTTCTGGTGATCTTTCGTCCGGAGGTTATCATCTATATATTGGCTTCGGATTCCACGATTGGCAGAACGTTAAAGATCCCCAGACATATATCCCGAGATTATCATATTATGTATAATAGCGTCGGTTTCATCTATTAGCCGCACATTAAAGATCCCCAGACATTTACACTCGGGATAATCTGTATATTTACATCCGTTTCTTTCATTGGCAGCGCATTAAAGATCCCCGGAATTTACACCCGAGTTAATAGCATCGTTTTCATATATTAGCAACACGTTAAAGATCCCCAGACATTTAGCAACGAGGTTATCATCTGCCTCTTAGCATCGTTTTCATCTATTAGCAGCACGTTAAAGATCCCCAGACATATAGCCCCGAGGTTACCATCTGTGTAATAGTGTCGGTTTCATATATTAGCAGCACGTTAAAGATCCTAGATATTTACACCAAAACATTTATCCCCGAGGTTACCATCTGTATATTAACTCCGACCGTCCGACGTCCACCACTGACAACACGTTAAAGATTCCCAGATATTTACATCTGTATATGTGCGTCCGTTTCTTTTATTAGCAGCACATTAAAGATCATCGGTAAGGTTTGTTTATGTGTGTATGTGTTATGTTTATTATGGTATATGTTTATTGTTAGAGTACATAAAACACGGAAAACATACATAGTATATCCCACAGTGTTATATTATACAAAAAATATTTTTCACGACTCCATGTATTCAGCCATGAATTAGTACCAAATAGGTAGCCAGTGTTAATAGGTCATAAAATATATACAATTGATCCTTGTCAAGGACTACCTTTATTATTCTCACCTGTAGTATACTTTTGACCCTGATACCCCTCTATATTATTCTGCTGACTAAATAGGATTTTAATGGTTGAATAACCGGATTATTTATTACTCGAACTATACCTTATATTTGCAGGCCATACACAATATACGGTAGTCTTCTGACCATATACATTGGCGTGCATGTAAAAGAATCCCTAGCAGTTTGAACTCGAAATAAGAGTAGACCGTATTTTCGCAGTCCGGGCAAAATTCCCCACAGCAAACTGTATGGTGTATGTCCGTCTTCATTAGCCGAGTTGGAAAAGAGCAATAGGACGTTAAACCCCATTTCATTTCATTTTACAAAACCTGTTATATATCCAATTCGACTACGAAACCTGTTAAATTTAATTCGAATACAAAACCTGTTATATATTCAGTTCGACTACGAAACCTGTTTAATGAAACCTGTTATTTATTCAATTTGAATGTGCGTTAGACAATAAGTTGTGTCACTGAGTCAAGGGATGCTCCCTCGACTCCCCGTTTTTTGAAAGGGTCCAGTTGAGGAGTTTAATTTAGCTTAGTTTATGGAAGATGCCTGCTTCTATCAAAGGATATCCACAGCATCTTTAAATTTTTGGTATTTATTTTTCAGGAATTATTTTGGTTTTCGACGATGCCACGCCATCACAGACGTCAACTTGGAGATTGCAATGGCCACGGGAGGTCTAATCGGTTCACCAACATGCAGCCTGACCGTGGTTTCCATACTGGGTTTCCACTAAACTGGAGTTTCGGAAACAGGGATATGTGGCAGCCAATAGTGCAGCCACAAAATGGCGACAGAAACGATCGTCATTGCATTATCGTCGATTATGGTAGTGATCCTTACGATGATTTCAATCATTCCCCCGTCTTTTTGCCCGGGATAATAGTACGAGATCCAGCACAACGTCCAAGCTCTGTTAATAATAACGGTAAGAAAGTTTTGTCATTTTCATGGTAAACAAAGAAAACAGTTATATATAATCGGGGGTTCATTTTTGGTAACGTCTTTGGTCATAGTTTTCTGCACCAACCGGGATAATGAGAGAGAGAGAGAGAGAGAGAGAGAGAGAGAGAGGGGGGGGGGGGGGAGGGGGAGAGAACTGGGGTTTAACGTCCACTCGACACAAAGTAGGTCATTTCCGGACTAATATATGGTTTAATTTTATTTCAATAATTCGCTTGCGTGTACAGGGATCTTTAGCAGTGGGAGGAAACCGGAGGACCCGGAGAAAACCCACGAGGTTGGACAGGCGACCCTACTCCATGTCACGTACAACCGGGAATTCGAAACCACGCCAGTCGACTCAATGACAGACTTTATGATACAGCGCGCACGCTAACCATTCAGCCCCCCCCCCCCCCCCGGGCTAATGGTTGTATTCGAATACCGGGTTTGTGCGTGACAAAACCCCATGGGTGATACTACTACTGTGTGGACTGATAAGAGAGGGAAATGGGGTTTAACGTCCACGCGACACAAACTAGGTCATTTCGGGACTAACATATAATCGCTTGCGCGTAGTGGTCTTTAGCAGTGGGAGGATACCAAACGACTCGGAGAAAACCCACGAGGTTGTACAGGCGACCCTACTCCTTGTCACGTACAACCGGGGATTCGAAACCACGCCAGTTGACTCAATGACAGGCCTTGTGATACTGCGCGCACGTGCTAACCACTCGGCCATCCACTCCCCACCCACACCGGTACTTAAATGAAAAGTATTTATAGTCTATAGTCTTTTATTGATGGTCTATTTCATAATGGATAGCGCATTATTGCTATAAAAATGTCAGCACCGAGAAGTGGTTGATTTCTTGACTTCGCGATTAGAATATCCCAAGTTCGAATCAAGTCGGGTTTACACTTGTCCGGGATGGGACGGAATATTGATTCATGACCGTAAGTTATTCCGACTGGCATAGACTTATATTAAAGTGGGCAAGTCTCTAACTCAATATCATCCAAATTCTTCGAAATTGAAAACACGAATTATTTGTTAATTTAAATCAACATTGATGTTGTTATCTTACCGGGAAAATATGGGTGTCTGATAACCAATATTTAAGACATAATAAACATTTTACCATTGGTATACGCGTGTACCATAATGCGTTTCAGCGCCATTTGTAACAAGGGACTCGAAGAACGAGGCTAGACATATTCCACAAGTCATGCCAACCGGTGTCGCCATATTCTTATCAGGAGAGCAATAAATACTATCGGTGTAGACTGGAATAACCAGACGCTAGAGATTGACACACGATTGAGACTTCTGGTGTACTTCACCGAACATAACTGATTTGAAATTAGAATAAGAATGGAAACGATTGAATCTAAATCAGTTTATATACATTCATATTTCCTTATTATATGGGTTGCGATCAATTTGTGTCAATTTCTGGGTCCCAAATATTAGCGATTTAGCGCCTTTAAGTTGGTTACATCTTGGGAGCTGCGGTGGATCTGTAAGTAACCAGCAGATCTCGGGGTCGCTACCGTTGTTGGCCGAGAAAGCTGTTCGGATTTTCCGGTGTGCTGGTTTCCCCTTTTCAGAGGCGCAGGACCTGACAAGGAATAGGTCTAGTCCTTCAGATGGCACGTACACGTTAAATAACCCTTGACAACTGGAATTCGAATTACGAGTAGATCGTAGTGCATAATGTCCACACTCTATAGTGTAGTCCGTCTTAATAAGTCATCGGTGCAGGAGAGTAGGACGTTAAACCCCATTTCATTTAATTTCGGTAACATCTTTGTAGTCGAATCTCACATGTTTACCGATTGGTGATTCTATAGAGAGAGAGAGAAATGGGGTTTAACGTCCACTCGACACAAACTAGGTCATTTCGGGACTAACATATGGTTTTAATTTTATTTCAATAATTCGCTTGCGCATAGGGGTCTTTAGCAGTGGGAGGAAACCGGAGGAACCGGAGAAAACCCACGAGGTTGGACAGGCGACCCTACTCCTTGTCACGTACAACCGGGGATTCGAAACCACCCCAGTCGACTCAATGAGGTGATTCTATAGCCTTCATCGTATTGTAATTGAGTTGATTAAAATAACATCTAACAAGATTTAACATTTACTTTAACACGTGCTTTCTATACATCTTACACTCTATAAACAATTCGTCAGACATTTAAATGTCAATATGACAAACATCTAGATTTTTGTATCCAAGACTGTAATGTGTTAGATATTTCTGTTGAAAATAAACTAATTCTGAGTACAATGCATTGTGATCTCTCGTCGAAAGATGGTGCCAATTATCGATATTTGGCATCGAAGATTGTGGGATTTATAGATATTTCTATATAAAGTCATTCTGATCAAAAGTCAATGGATGATGATTATTATCGATAAAGTACTGATTAAAATTTATCATTTTGTCCAGTCGTTGGAGATTCTTTTACATTTCCTTTATTATCATGTATTAAAACTTTCTATGATGTACATATTAATTAACAAATTAATGAAAGTAACTGATAGATCTGATTAAAACACAAATCCTATTTCGTTTCGATTTTTATAGTTCTAAATTTCACTTTACCTTTCTGCACTTCGGACCATCGAAAGTTACGAAACGAAATTTTAATCAGACTGGTAACTGAGAAACCAGGTGCGCTAATTTTAATAGCTACTGTAAATATGGGACTGTGGGTTTAGTTTAAGAGGATCGGGTAAAAGTTTCAAAAACTTACAGAAGCCACGTTATGAAATTATTAAGGAAGTCATGGAATGGAAGGCTAGGTTACTGAAGCACGTGCGCTGCTTCGTTTATTTACAGTTGATTACAGTTCCGCTTATAACGTCACTTCCGGGGTATACTGCGGTTTGAGGGTGGTCCAGTACTAGATAAAAAAGATTATACTAAATATTGTAAGTGCGGTACCTGATAGTTTTCTCCGATTGATTAAAAACAAAACAACAACAAAACAGAAGAAGGGTAAATGCGTCGGTGGTCTGCCTTCTATAATGATGACGAAGGCTTTCTAAATCGTGCACCACATGTTGTCTCCGACTATATAAAATACAATGATTGTATTTCTTAACATCGCGGAAAAGATTAAAAAAATTAAATAGGCTCCTCATAATATCGCTGTTGGATATTCTTAGTATAACTATTGTTATTCTTTAAATACTTTTCGTTAAAGGGCGACAATAAAACAAGTATCTGCTAATTTTTGACAAGAATTCGCTGTATACAATTCAACACGATTTTTAAACAAACCTATTTCTGAAATGACCATTTCTCATAGACTTTCGCTTCATGTACTCCGAGATGTATACGGTATAAAGGTACATTAAATATAATTTAGAGTCATACTTGTAGGGTTTTTTTGTATGAAGTGCAGTTTCTGGGTTGGACTTGTATATTATGATGTTTATGTTTGATGTAAAAGTGACAAGGTGCTTGAAGTACGAGTTTGTGAGTCAAGGAATACACTTATTAACATGAAAAACACTTGTAATTAAGTCTTTACCCACCTGTTTTTGATAAATGCATATAAATAATATTAGTATTAAGTGTAGACTGGTGTTTAGAACGGGTGTTGTGCTATAAAATATAAGGAATACCGGGTTATTGGGACATGTTGTTTATTCGTGTATATATGGCACCAAATCCAGGATAAACTGAACAATTGATACGTCAATAGATATTAATTTCTGGAGATTCTTAGAGATGTTTGGAAAACGTTTTTGGTGTTTGAAAATTTGATTAACCAAGCTCTCCCTGGAAAAAAATATTTTCGATTCGATTGTTTTGCCTTTGTTAATCAAATATCCCGGAAAATGGGACAACAAGGTAGTAGACATCGTCGTATACGTGAAGCTATTACCGGGGAGGTGTACCACAGAAACCATCCTGGACTTTCTCCTGGTCGACGCCCTGTCTATGTCGCTAGCTATGGAATACATATACAAATTACAAACCATTGATCATTACTTGTTACTATTCACATAAATAAGTAACAAATTACAAACCACCGATTATTAAAATTTATGTTCACGTGAATGAATCAATCCTTTGTATAGTGCAGACAGGATTTGATCTAAGTGATAATGTTCGGATAGGACGGGGGGCAATCATTATAAATTAACCCATCGGTAGTCCTCCCCACGCAACAAACTTTGTAAGGCTATATTCAAAGCATAAAGATAGCACTTTATAAACTGTTCGAGGATTATAACCTATGCGTTCTGATTTATCCATGAAGGTCTCCTGGGTCAAACACATCTTATTATTATTAAATTACCGAGAGGAATGTTATTGACCTATTGATAAACTTCTAGTGTTTCTATGATATGATGGTATTTATCGTTCAAATATTTCAAATAACCCAGATTAAATTCCGTGCTATGATGGTATTTGTCTCTAATATTTCAAGTACTAGCGATTGGTCTACAATGCACGTTCTCGGCCTAAATGTTGATAAACAAATATCTTTCTATATAATGAAATTACAAATATAGACTTAAAAGTTGTGTCCACTTATCCTACCTTTGAAATGAAATTGTGTTGAACGGTCTACTTTTGTTGAGTTATATATATACTAGTAAATATTCGTAAATACGTTTGTAAACAACCGTAAGTTTGCTTCGAAATTCCCAGTGCATACTTTGTCTATACAGGTCACATTTCTATGGAATACAATTACTTCTTATAACTGGCCTACTTATCACATTTTCAGTTTATTAAGATAATTTTCCTTCAAAGTAATTAGAAGGGTGTCTCTAATTGGCCAGCATTAACCAAATGTTGTTTTTTACATGTATATATTGTCTCGTTATATATTTTATATTTTACCATTGCTTGATAATGACAAGAGAAGCTTAGTCGACGCATTAATTGTATTCCATAGAATTGTGACCTGTATATTCCAATTCAGTTACTAAATGTCATTGAAACAATATATTATGTA